AAACGACTGCTGCTCCCGTTATGCGGGTCCCATCCAGAAGGTAGGAAGAGCCATCGGTAAATAACTCTAGGTCTGGGTTGGGGAGAGGATTATCTGTTAAATCAGGACGTGGCAGTTCAGCATCCTGGACTAGGTGCAGGCAGTCATGTAATGCTTTATCTGTTAGGTTAGTTGGTAACAATGTTGCTGGGTTTAGCGTGTTGCAGAGTTCAAAGGAAATATTTTCTGAAGTGAATAGTTCTGCTTCGTATTGGGCCAGGCGTTGTTGGGTAAATGCCTGGGTTTGCGACTTTAAGGGTATGGCAAACACATCATGGGGAACCCTCAGAGTGAGGGGGCATCCCAAAACCAGGTCCTTTGATCGCTTAACTAGCTCTACCGTGGCAGCCACTGCCCTCAGGCATGGAACAGCTCCTCTAGCTACCGGATCTAGCTGGACTGAATAATAGGCTACCGGTCTAAGGTTTGGACCAAACTTCTGCGCCAACACCCCTGAACCTATGCCTTTGCATTCGTGAATAAAAAGGAAAAAGGGTTTCGTATAGTTAGGGAGACCCAGAGCTGGGGCTGAGGCTAGGGTCTGCTTTATTTTCTCTAGGGTGTTTGCCAATTCCTTTGTCCATGCAATAGGATCAGGTTGGTCCTTTTTTGTTAGTTGGACTAAAGGTTTTGCTAATTCCCCAAAGGCTGGTATCCAGGGTCGGCAGAATCCTAAGACCCCTAACAGGGCACGCACCTGGCATTTTGTTTGTGGGTGCTTCATTCTTAGGATGGTTTCGACTCTTTCGGGTGCTAACTTTCGGACCCCAGGGGCAATAATATACCCTAAATAGGACACTTCCCTTTTTAAGTACTGTAATTTAAAAGGAGATGCTTTATGCCCCTTTTCCCCCAGACATTTCAGTAGGTGGTAGGTATCTGCCCTACAGCTCTCCTCAGCTTCGGGAGCTACCAGTAGGTCATCCACGTATTGGATAAGTGTGGATTTGCATGGTAGAAGGATGGAAGCTAGGTCTTCCCTTAAAATCTGTGAGAACAAAGTGGGAGACTCCGTATAGCCCTGCGGCAATCGAGTCCAGGCGTATTGTTGCTTATCCCATGTGAAGGCAAAGAGGTATTGCGATGCAGGGTCCACAGGGATGCTGAAAAAGGCTGCACAGAGATCAATTACTGTGAAATAGGTGGCTGACGCTGGTACTTCTGTAATTATGGTAGCTGGGTTTGGTACTACCGGTGCTCTGGGTATTACATGATTGTTCACGGCTCTCATATCATGTACAAAGCGGTAAATGGGGTTCCCTTCACTGTCTACCTTTGGCTTTCGAACCGGAAAGATTGGGGTGTTGCAAGGGGAAGTGCATTTACGCAGCACCCCCTGCTCTAGGTATGCTGTTATCAGTTTTTGAATTGGTTCTATCGCTTCCGGTTGTATCTTGTACTGGGGAATACATGGTGGTGGTCCTGGCTTAACTTGGATCGTAACCGGGGTAGCTGCTTTTAGCAGCCCCACTTCGGTAGGGTCCCAACCCCACAGAGAGGCTGGCAAGCTTCGGAGATCCATAGGCAGCTGGATCTCCTTGCCAGTTGAACAAACCATGGAAAAATGTGCCCGTTTGACTGGGATGTCTAAGTGGAGCCCTTCTGCAGTACATTTAATAGTTGCCCCAAGTTTGCAAAGCAAATCCCTACCTAGGAGGGATAAGGGGGATTGAGGACAAACAGTAAACGGGTGTTCTAAGGAGAAGGGGCCAACTTCTACCTTCAAGTTATCTGTAAATTCGACTGGGATAAGTTTTCCTCCAACCCCCATTACATTGTCTTTGGCCCCAGGCACTATTGAATCCTTAAAGGGTGCCGTTGTGAGAAGGGAGGAGGTTGCTCCGGTATCAATGAGGCATTCATATGTCTTTCCCCCTACAGTGATTGTTAACAGGGGTTCCCCATCAGGGCCGCCCTTTAAGGGGATAGCTAACCCCTGAAATGTAGCCTTATAATCAATTTCTAGTCAGGCTAGGTCGTGTTCTGTCTGTCCCCATTGGGGAATATTTTGGCCTCTTTCCTCATTCTGACGATGAGGGGCCATCCTTGGGAAGGGGGGCCTTGGCTTGTGACGGTTCCAGGTGTTCCTCTCCGGTTCCCCCCTGCAGTATCTCATAAGATGCCCTTCCCTACCACAACGGAAACAATGCCGGCAAAAGGGTTGTCTCTCAGTCTTGCACCGCTGGCACATTGCTTCCCTTGAGGTAGGTTTACGATATCTGCTCCCACTTTCCCTATTTATCATGGCAAAAGCTTGCAAATCCTCCCTCCTTTCCATTCTGTGTCTTTTCTCTTTCTCCCTTTCTCGTTCCGCTTCCTTCCTTTCTCTCTCTTCTTCTGCTTGCCTTTCCCTCTGGTCAAATACAAAGTTCGCAATCCTGCGCAACTCTGAGATATCTAAGGTGGACCAGTTGGAGACTATCTTCTGGAAGTGCCCCCGGATATCGCTTGCCGATTGGTTAACAAAAGCGGCTGCAAGAATGTTCTTATCCTTTGAGCAGCCTATGTCTAAGTGTGCATATGCGGTTCCGGCCTCTAAGAGGCGGACCCAGAAGGCATCAGGGGTCTCTTTGTCTCTCTGTGTGGTCTTTTGGAACTCAGCCCAATTGAGGGGCTTTTTTCCTATTTCCTGTAGGGCTTCCATTAAGTTGGTTTTTGCCCTAGTATAATCGTCCCAGTGGTTCTGATTATTATAATCCCAATCTGGGCGGTCGAGGGGCCAGGCTATCCTGGCAGGGGCTCTTTGCCCAGGCGTGGGTATTACGGGACGCCGGGCTATTTCTTCTGTTTTTTCAAAAAGTTTTATCAATTCGTCTTTGGTCAGAAACACGTGTAGCAGCTGGGTCATGTCTGCCCAAGACGGATTGTGAGTGTCTACAATAGACTTTATGGTCTCTATAACGGTTTGAGGGTCCGCTCGGAAGGTGGGAGTATCTTTCTTCCAAATGACCAAATCAGACGGAGAGAAAGGGGTGTGGGTTAAAATGTGTTCAGTCTGGCCCCTCTGTCGCCCGGGTACGGGCCTGTTTAACAGGGGGGCCATGAAGGTCGGTTTAGGGTTATCTAAGGGAGGCTGGGGGTCCAAGTTGACTTGGGTTGGGTTCCTCTGTCTGGACAGTTCGGCCCAGCAATACCAGTAGGGTAGTTGGGTTGGCTCTATCCTTGACCTAAGTTCTTTTAGTGTTCTGATTTCTAGGGTGCCACCTTCGGGCCAAATTTGTCTCCCGCGGTCATCTTTAAGCAAAGCCCATTTCCTACATAATTCCTCTAATCGCTTCTTCTTCATTCCAGCCTGGACAGGAAGCTGATTCCTGTCCCAGGCTTCGAGCAAGCTCTCAATTGGGAAACCCACTTCGGCCCTTGAATTGGAACTCCCCAACCTTTTATAACGGGGTTTTAAACCCACTTCAGCCCTTGAATTGGAACTCCCCATTCTTTTATAACGGGGTTTTCCTTTCAATGTTAAAGGGTACTAACAGTCGAAGTCTCCTTGCGAGACTTCTTTCCCAATACAGTCGAAGTCTCCTTGCGAGACTTCTTTCCCAATACAGTCGAAGTCTCCTTGCGAGACTTCTTTCTCCTAATACAGTCGAAGTCTCCTTGCGAGACTTCTTTCTCCTAATACAGTCGAAGTCTCCTTGCGAGACTTCTTTCCCCTAATACAGTTGAAGTCTCCTTGCGAGACTTCTTTCCCCTAATACAGTCGAAGTCTCCTTGCGAGACTTCTTTCTCCTAATACAGATTCTCGGAGGTGAGCGGCCACCTCCGCTCGGGGCTACTGCTTTAATATTTACTGGCAGAAGGGGTCCTGGCTTGCCCAGAATAGGGTTCTCTTTCTCTGCCCGCTCGGTCCTCCTCTCTCACCAGAAGGTCTCACGCTCCGATGCCCCCCCCTTGCTTTCCCGAATTCCGCCGGTCACAGCTCCACTGGAGCTAGCAGCAGGTCGGGGTGCGGCTAGAGGGCACACGGAGGGAGCGAGCTCCAGCTGATTCTAAGAGGAGGATGCCTCACACACACACTCATGCATTCTTCCTTTCGTCCCCCCAGACCCTTTAATCTAATAGATTTAAATTTGGTGGCACTTACCCTCTTTCCTGGTAGCTGTTCGAGCGTAAGACTCAAAAACTCCCTTTGCTACCCGATGCCGACCGGGCAGGGTCCGAGGAGGCTTCCCCACGGATCAAAGTGTCCGCTGCCGGCTGGGTGATGACTCTTCCGGGCCCGGTCCGGTGGCTGGGTGAGCTGGAAGTCCCATCTGGGTCGCCAGATTGTTGGGAGGAACTCCCCCGTTCGGTTCTTCCAGCCGGGATTCTTCTTGACGGCGCAGTGCAGAAGAAATAGATCGTGAAGCCAGCTACCAGAAAGAGGTTTTATTTCGAGGATCAGCGTTGAGTGACAATTCAGCTCGAGTCCCCGGCTAGCTAGACAGAGTGATCTTTAAATAGGGGTTTTTATACCCCTTTGTGGTTTCCAAACTTGTCATTTCTGATTGGTAACAAACTTTATCATTTCTGATTGGTAACAAACTTATCATTTCTAATTGGTGAGTTTGAATTTGCCCTTTCTGATTTGTTGGTCAGTGACTATTGTTGGTTAAATTTCTTTGCTAATCCTGCCTGAAAGGTGTTAATTACTTTATTGTTGTGTCCTGATTGTTGCTAGCTGGTTCCTCATTGTGTGTCAAGTGTTTGCCATTTAGCCTCAGGCTGCTGTTGACCCAATTTAGTTGGGGTGTTCCTAGATTATTTCTTGGTTGGGCTGGGGAGGGGGTGTCCAACTCTCATCAATCTAAAAAGCAGAAGTAAAATCAGTTTGGGGCAACATTGGCAAAATTGTACCAAAGCTGTTGGAGGTTCAACACATCCTTCAAAAGTTTTGAATGAATTCTCTATTCCTGGACTGACATCTGCCAAATTTTTAGTTTTCTTTCCTCTGTAAACAGGCTGTACTTATGAAAACAATGGAAATGAAAAGCAATCAGACATTGGTTACAGATTTTGTCCTGATTGGGTTTACAATAGACTCATTTCTACACATAATCTTCTTTGTGCTGTTCTTGGTCTCCTACACCCTAACATTGATTGGGAACTTGGGTCTCATGACCCTGATCTACTTGGATTCCTGCTTGCACACACCCATGTACTTCTTTGTGGGCAACCTTTCCTTCCTGGATATCTGGTACACCTTGGTCTACACTCCTCGGATCTTGTTTGACTGTGTGTCCATGAACAATCACATGTCCCAAAAAAATAATAATAATCACATGTCCCTTGCTGGTTGCACAGCCCAGTTCTTCTTCTCTGCTGGCTTGACCTATAGTGAATGCTTCTTACTGGCCTTCATGGCCTATGACCGCTTTGTGGCCATCTGCAACCCACTCCTTTATGCTACTGCCATGCCCAAGAAGCTTTGTGTCCAGTTGGTGGTAGGTTCCTACATAGCTGGTTTTGCCAATGCCATTGCCCACACTGCTAACACCTTTCGGCTACGCTTCTGTGGGAAAAATATCATCAATCACTACTTTTGTGATGTGGTGCCACTTGTGAAGATGGCCTGCAATGACACACAGGTATATGAACTCATTCTGACTGCTCTTATTGGTAGTAATATGTTAGCAACCACAGTTGTGATCCTGAGCTCCTATATTGGTATTGGGGCAGCCATAGTCCGCATCCGCTCAGCTGCAGGGAGACGCAAAGCCTTCTTCACTTGCTCTGCTCACATGGTTTCAGTCACCCTCTTCTATGGTTCCATTCTAATTATGTATTGCAGACCCCACTCTCAACACACTCCAAATTCAGACAAGGCAAATGCATTGTTCTATATGGTAGTCAACCCTCTGCTCAACCCTTTAATTTACAGCTTACGCAACAAAGATGTGAAGGCAGCCTTCAAGAAAGTCTGGGGGAGATTTGTAGCACACAAATGAATGTCAGTGATATACTGTTTATTGAAATTAGTTTGTAGTTGCAGAAATTAGGGTCTAGTTTCTGTAAGCCTCCCTCCCTCCTTATGGTGGAGAGCGGCAGTAGACCAGAGAGATTACTACAGAATAGGCATAATCAGAAGGAAATCATTGGACAATAATAAACTGGAGAAAAAGTTTGACTTTCAGGTAAGTAATAGCTCACTGAAGACAGCTTTGCCATAATGGAATGAAGAGCTGGTGAATAGATTGGCTCTTTGTATTCCTCTCCACACAAGGAAAAGTCATCAGGCCCCAAGTACCGGTACTTTATACAGTTTCTCCTTATGAGGAGTTTAGAACTCAAGGAAATGCTCAAATCATGGTTGGCACTTTCTAAAAGACACTGGATGCCTCTTTTTCTAATCACTTTCAGTAATTGTTTTTCAGCTATCTGGAATTTGAATCAGGAATTCTGAAAACATTGTGAGTTTCCTTCAATCCATTGAATTCCAATGGGAATGATGGTCAGGATGCTCTGTGGTTCCATAAATTGGGTTCTAAAGTACTTATGGTCCAAATGACCATATTTAAATAATAAAATAAAATAATAATAAAATAAAATAATAAAATAAAATAAAATAATAAAATAATAAAATAAAATAAATAATAAAATAAAATAAAATAATAATATAATATAATATAATATAATATAATAAAATATAATTAAAAATAGGCAGAACAATGGCAGAACAGCAAGGTTTCATGTTTAACAATTGCCTAATAATACAATTCCTTCAGAATAATTGGATAATGTGATGCAATGAAAACAGTAGCTTGCTTTTCCCAATCACACAACACCACAAAAAGGAAGCAATGTGGCAAATAAGTTCATTCATTTATGTTATAGTGAAAAGTTTGCACTAGAAATATTTTGGCCATGTTTAATACCTATTTTACCCATAGGAGATTCATCATTTATGAGCAATCAGAAGCCTTGGACTTCTGCAATAGCAATATATTACCTTACTGAGTGGCTTTGGACCATCTTGTCCAGGTCCAATATATCTCAGAGAGTAGTGTCCATAGGGAGAAAGAGGAGGAACATTATGTAGGTGGTCTTGAGCTCCAGAATGAAAGGACAGGATAAATAAGTGAATCAATAGCCAGAGTAGACACAGTTCTATTCTGCTTTGACCAAACTTCACTACAAAGACCATGTCTATTGCTGGACATCTTTGCTTTGAAAGTTTCCCAAACTGCACTTAAAAGGAAATGTTGGGGAAAGCTGGACACATTTTCCTGGAAAATATAAGATACAAAATGAAATCTGATGGTAATTTTAAACATTTGAAGGATATGCTGAAAAAGATGGGGGTTGATTCTGAGTAAACAAAGTTGGGGAGTTTTGAGATAGAACTCTACGCACAAACATATATCCAGTTATCTATGGAGATTCCCAGTCATCCAGGTATGGTTGTCCCAAAGGTACTTTTTCAGGAGGCAACTGGACTTTCTTGAACAAGAAAGTCCAGTTGCCTCCTGACAAAGCACCTTTGGGATATATCCAGATAATCTCCTGACCTACAAAAATGCACATATGTCCCTGCAAAGACAGAGATCTATAATCTAGCGGCCTTCATTGGAAGATAAGAGGGAGACACAAGGCTTTCTTGTGCATCTCGGCACAATTGTTCCACTTTGCTGCAATGGCTATTTTCAGCAGCTTCACTGGGAGGAAAAAAGATGCCATGAGTTTCCTTTTCCCTTCTGGTGAAAGACAAAAGAAAGTCACTTGTACTTGAACCACTGCTTTAATACCAGATACAGCACAAGGTTGTGTTAAGCCATTTCTCCCCAATATGGTTTCTTACTTACTATCATCCATCCATCCCTTTCATTCATTTTACAAGGCTCATAAGCCACTCCAATTGAAATTGTTTGTGAGGGGCCTATTTAAACATATAAAGTGGAAAGAAACCAGCAAGTAAAAGAGGCACAATGCTTACAGGCAAAAGGAAACATAAACAACAAGAATCCAAGAATCTATGGCCTCAAATTATGAAAATGAATGAATGGATTTGCTCTGAATTTGCATTGCATGAATTATTTTTAAACGAGTTTACAGCCAGCAAGAACAATATTAGCAACCAGAGGAACTTTTTCCCTTTTGCTTGTACCTATTTGGGGAATACCATCCAGAAGATGGTAGAGGACAGGAAGACCTGGAGGAACGTTGTCCATGGGGTCGCGATGGGTCAGACACGACTTTGCAATTAACAACAACAACAATTTGGGGAATATAGAAATGGATGACCAATCCCAACTTAATTTTTCCCAATGGAAAAAATCTATGGGAAAGAAAATTCCCCAGTAGATGAGCACCTTTCACTTCTATTCCTGGGAATGTTGACATACAAGGCATCGCGATGCAATTATTATAGGTGTGAAAGGGACAGGGGAAACCTAAATAAAACTATATTCTCCGTTATGGAACTCCTTGGGTGACTTGGATCAGTCTGACCTACTATTTGGGGTCTTTGTTGTAGGGATAAAATGAGGGGAGACTTCCACATCCATCACCTTGGTTTCCTAGAGCAGGGCTTTTCAACCTTTTCGCCCATTGTACCACTTTTAGGATATGGCAACATCCAAGTACCACCAGTCGCCTAGCAAGGTGTCAAAAACTTGATGACCAAAAAAAAAAAAGGAACAAAGTGATAAAGTACAGGTAGTCCTCGACTTAGAACAGTTCGCTTAGTGACTCTTCAAAGTTACAATTGCACTGAAAAAAGTGGCCCTCAAGCCACAGCCGAGCAAGACACCTGCCTGCCCACCCGGCTGCGCTCTTCCTCCTGCCTGAGGTTTTCATTGTTGTGAGCATTTCTGTTGAGAATTGGCAGCGGGAGTAGGGTGGGGAGGGTGTTTGGTTTTTATTCCCCGTCTGCTAGGTGGTTGCAGCAGGTTTTGGTCACTTCACATGACCCTGGGACACTGTGACCGTCATAAATATGAATCAGTTGCCAAGCATCTGAATGTAAATCACAAGACCCTGGAGATGCTGCAACATTCCAGCTGATTGGTGCTTCACTGCTCAGCAAAAGCACCAGGATCAGTGCCGAGCTCCAGCTGGAGCCTGGTGCTGATCCTGGTGCTTCCACTGAGCCCTCCACCTTTTCTCACTCAGGCTTGTGCGGTGCTGCCACCAGTTCAGCTCATTCCCCTTCCTCGCTACCACTTTTCTAGGATGGTCACATACCACCTGCCAGGTGCCAATGTACCACAGGTGGTACCCGTACCACTGGTTGAAAAGCCCTGTCCTAGAGCAAAAGTTGAAGAGCAAAAAATAACCTAAGAAGGAAGAGAAGGTTGACTTTACTCCTTGTTCTGTCTCTCAGTCAACACATGTAGCATCAATAAAGTAAAATTTTGAAATTTTTTTGGGGTGATGTGCCATCTCTGTTATTGGAACAGCAAAGTCTTCAATATTTTTGAGTGGACTTATAATAACTTTAAAACAAAAGACAACAGTATAACAAATAACCATTTCAAAGCATCTATCTTGTTAACAAATACTTGACAGAGTGTGGTGAATGTAGGACACCTAAATTAATTGTAGCTAACTTGATTTATTGGCCCTTTTTGTTGAAACAGAAATCAAACTGTTGTAGGTGCTTCTGCTGAGAATCCTTAATTTTTGCATGAGAAAAGATTTGCTGGGATAGGTTTCCCAGCAATAATGACGTGGATGGTCATTATTCTGGATGGTCCAGAATAATCTTGGAACATCCCAGACATTTTTAAATGAATGAGTTAATCAGTATGCAGATGAAGTATAAACAGGAAAACTGAGAATACTTTGGGAATTATAATAAATGAAAAGACATTTCTGAGAATGTTGTCTAGAAAATTACATGGATTTATATGTGTAATTTCTATGAGTGAAATCGGATTCAAGGGGGAAAATCATGGTCAGAGAGAAAGCTTTGCAAGACTCTAGGAGAGATTTAACGCTCTCAAGAATTCCTTCAACCTTTTGCACCAGCAAAAAGGCATCCTGCATGTAGAGATAATAAAGTCAACAGTCAAGGAACAGCTCCTATCACAATTGCTTGACAGCTTATTTCTGCAAAATATCATGTTTTGAAATGAAGGGGGAAAAAAAACAGAGGCCTTGCTGTCCTGGTGTCTTTGGGAAGAGATCTTCCCTCAGAAGATTGGGCACAATTTATTGTTAATTCAGACTTTTAAATTGTTTTAGCAGTTTTAAATTACATCTTAAATACTTCTTCCTTCACAGTTACCACTATTTTAAGGGCTCTGTTATTGTATAATTGTTTAGAGATACTATATTAGATTAATGTTGGACACCATCTTGATTGGATTGCTTGGAAATGCTGCTTAAAATGTAGATAATTAGACCTTAATGATGTCCATGGGGTCGCGATGGGTCCGACACGTCTTCGCAACTAACAATAACAATAATCCTTTATTAGAAAAATGTTACACATACACATTTTCTATGTTGAGTTCATTACTCAATTTATTATCAAATCTACATTTCAGAGTTTTTTTGTTTCCAGAGAAGCAGGAATCAATCCCTTCAATGACAAGGAACTTGGGATGTGAGAGACAAGACAATGACAAAATGTAGCTCTGAGAAAGGGATAGGGAACAGTCCTTTTTTGAAATGTTTGGTTTAAATGTTTATTGTTACTGTAGCATATTTCTTTAGGCCAAATTCCATTGCTATATCTGTGCTAAAAAATCTTAATAATGTTTGTCAGTGACTGGGTTTTGATTTCTGGTTTTCCATAAAGATTCAGGTCATCCCTAAAAAGCAAGTGTGATGCTTTATTAGCAATTTTGCTATTTAGCAGAGATTCATTTTCTTCAAAACATTAGAAGTGGGATCATAGCGATGACAAGTAATAAGGGTAACAAATCACTGTGGAAAGTCCTCTCCTAATTGACAAAATTATTATTTATTAAACTTGTATGCCACCTGACTCTCAACAATATTTGTTTGTTTGATTGATGTCTATATGCTGAAATCTGCTTTCGGAAAGGGTTTCAAAACACATAGATTCCAGAGGACCTAATGCAAGGAAGACCTAATGTTATTATTTTTATGTAAAACATTCACAGAATGTTCAAAAAGTTAGAACCAAAATCAGTTTGGAGCAAAATTAGCAACAGCGGTATCAAATACTATATGACAGTGTTTTCAAAACTTTTTTCAAAATCATAGCAGGCCCCCAAATTGCAACATTCTTTCTTCTTTTCCTTCCTAAACAGATCAAGTCTATGAAAATAATGGAAGGTGAAGACAATTGGACACTGGTATTGATTTTGTCTGTTGGATTTACAACAGACCCATTTCTATGCATAAGCTTCTTTGTGGTATTCTTGGTTCTTAGTCATCTACTTCTTAATATTGATTGGGAACCTGGAATTCCTGTTTGCACACACCCATGTACTTCTTTGTGGGTAGCCTTTCCTTCCTGAATACCTGGAATTCTTTGGTCTACACTCCTCAAATTGTCTATGTCTGTGTATGGAAGCACAACCACATGTCCCTCTCTGGTTGTACAGCCCAATTTTTCTTTACTGCTGGAATGGGCTGGAGTGAATGCGTCCTACTGGCCTTCATGATCTATGACCACTTTGTGGCCATTTGCAACCCACTTCTTCACAACACTGCCACGCTCAAGAAACTCTGTGTCCTGTTCCATTGCACACACCAATAACATGTTCCACCTATGCTTCCATGATAGTAATATCATCAACCATTACTTTTGTGATGTGCCACCACTTGTGAAGATGGCCTGTGACAACACAAGAGTAAAAGAATATGAACTCATACGAACTTTCTGCTTAGGCACCAGTAGAGTCCTCTGGAGCCCGGTCTGAGTCATAGTTCTCAGTTTCTAGGAAAAAAAGGGAAGAGAAAGTCATGGGGGAGGGGAGAGAAATAAAATAACTGACAAACCTTGCAAAAAAACCTGGTGTATTGGCAATAGAGTTAGGGAAGAAATAAATAGGCTAGCTCAGTGATGGCAAACCTTTTAGAGACTGAGGGCCCAAAAAGTGGTCCCGCCCCTGCTCCACCCCCTGCCCCGCCCCTGCTCTGCCCCCCCCCATCCCTCAACCTGCCTGCCCACAAGACCACTCACTGCCTCCAGGGCCCGCTGCAGATTGCCCAGGCAGCCCAGCAGCGCTATGGCGGTCATGCCCTCTGCCCGCACCCTGCAGCATCAATTGTGCGTGATGGGGCGTGAGGGCAGAATCTTGTCTATGCTGCCTGGCTGTCATGTCCTTGGCTGCACTGCTCCGTGTGGGCCACGCTCGGGGGTGACTCTCCTTCAGGGGGGCTGCTGGAGAGGAGGGGGTCGCAGGGGGATGCAAGGCTGGGGCAATGGCACGTGTGCTCACAGAGAGGGCTCTGAGTGCTGCCTCTGGCACCCATGCCATAGGTTCGCCACCACTGGGCTAGCTACTTTTTCATCATTGACTTTTTAAGCATCTGTCACAGGGTTCTCCAGCTTGGTGGCTCTGCTCATGCTCACTGGGCCTTGCACAGGCAAAGTGAGAATGTTTGCAAAAGTCATTTCCTGCTTGCCTGGGAAGGCAGCATCTGCTTTGCACAGGTAAAGAGGGAAGCCAAGCACAGATTTTAGCAGTGCTCCCCCTTTGCCTCTGCAAGTTTGACCAGCTTTATTGTTTTCAGTTTAAATGTGATTCTTTTCTAATACCTCCCGGTAGGATCTAATCCACACAGAACATCCCAGTATGATGAGAAAGCAGCCAAAGTTGTTTGTAAGCCATGGTTGGTCACTTTTTTTTAATGGGGGAGGGGGATGTTTCTTTAAGTAAACCATGTCATAGTAAAATGTATAAACTCAGTCTTAATGTATCACATTTTGGGGGTGCCGTATTGAGGGAGGCTTATATTATTTGGAGAAAGAAAGGAAATTCAGAATTAAGGAAAAAAAAGTCTGTCATGTAGGGAGAAGTCTTCCTGAAGATCTTCACAAGAAGGTAAATTGGACAGTAGCTTCAACTGGTTAATTTGCTTGGATTCTTTTCAGAAAGAGGAATAGATACTTGCTGATCTTTCCTTTTTCTCGTGTACTTTCATTGTTCGTGCAACCACTTAATCTCCCCTTCCTGTTCTCACAGATCTCTGCTGTTGGAAGCGGAAGCTTGGAGCTCTCTAGAGTTGACTCCTTTGGGATCGACCTCCCTTTACTCCCAGCCTAACCAACCAGCAGTGAGAAACTTGGCAGGTCTTTTCACCCAAGAATATAGTATTGGATCCAAGTTTCCCAAACCTCATTACCACTGATTGCTTCTTTAAATGGGAAACACGTAGCATGAAAGAACAATTCAATGTATCAAGGACCACATTTTGGAAGACATAGGCTCTGCCTCCAAGTAGTTTTCTGTCCCCCAACCTTGTTCTTTTTTTTCTATTTGTTAGTATTATATTTTAATTGAAATTGGGTTGGTTAGTTTTCTTTGGTTTGTTACAAGCTGCTCAGAGTTGGGCAGCCATATAACTTCTTTAAAATAAATATAATTAATGCTATCCCAAAAAAAAGTAAATTAATTAAGAGTCACAAAAACAACAGCTGAAATTATCGTTCTACCCACTTAGAAGATTTAGTTGAAGTGGAAAGTCTTTTTTTTCTTCTTGGTGCAATGCCCAAGAAAAAGCATTTCATAGTCTGGGCTCTTACGTGTACTGAGACATTCTCTTACATGGATTGTATTGCAATACAATCTAGTGATGCTATATTGTAATATCTTGCAATACTTTGATGGTGTTATTAAGATTCCCTGCAGCAGGGCAAACCATCCTTCAGTGATTAGGAGCTTTAAGTCATTCACTGTTTTTTTAACCCAATGTTCCTCACAAGGACTATCTTTCAGCACACTGAATGCCTCTTAGTGTCAATGCTGCTAACATCGGATGTTTTTGTTTTGACTACAGTTGGAGATGCAACCATTTTCTTTTTATGTTTTACTCTTAGAGTTAGAGTTAGAGTTAGATGATGCTGGGGGGAGGAATGTGCATGAGAGTTTTAGCTAGACCAGTGTTTCTCAACCTTGACAATTTTAAGGCATGTGGACTTCAACTCCCAGAATTCCACAGCCAGCAATGCCTTAAAATTGTCAAGGTTGAGAAACACTGAGCTAGACATAACAATACTGGACCTAGTGTGTGAACCAAGGTTATTGAAATATGAGATGATAAGAATTGGTGGGCTGGAGAACTGGAGGGAAAGCCTGAATTTCAAACTAATTGGAGAATGTGATTTATGATTGTTAATTGGAGAAGGGAATTATGCTTTGATACTATGTGCTCAGGGGAGGGGAATTTAGTTTTTGGCTTTGATTATGTTAGTGTTGACGCTATGCTTCTCTAATAAAGATTCTTTAAGGTAAACAATGCCCCAAAGTTCTTTGAAGAGTTTCATCTGTCAGAACCATGACACTTAGGCTGTTAGAGAAAAGGAAGGATATTAGGCTAACATAAGTTATATTTATGCAATATTTACTGTAACACTGGAGGAGAGCAATATCTGAGTTCCTCATAAAATTACATAACAGTGCAATGAAAGATGTATCTGGAATTTCCCTAAACAATTGTTAGAAAGTACTCTCCAAGCAACTAGGAAGCCAGCTTGATCTTGTGATTAAGGCACCAGGCTAGAAAGTGGGAGCCTTAGCCATGAAAACCAGCTGGGTGATATTGGGCCAGTCATTGTCTCTCAGCCCAATTTACCTCACAGGGTTGTTGTTGTGGGGAAAATAGGAGAAGGGAGGATATGTTGGGTATGTTCGCCACATTGAGTTATTTGCAAATATAATAAAGGTAGAATACAAATAAACAAACAAACAAACAGCAGGATTTACTTCTCAATAAATGCCTATTCCAAATTTCTTTAGCAGAACATTCTCCAGATCTTTTCAGACCTCAATAGCTCAAATTGCCAGATAATAAACATTTTCACCATTTTGGCTGGGAATTGCCACATTTGGAGAATGCCAAGTTGCAGAAGGCTAGCATCTAGGGTGGGACTGTGAATCTTTTAATAAAAATAAATAAATTCATATTAAATGTATGTACAGAATAACTGCATTATTGATTAATGTTTAAGGCCTTTCAAAGCTCAAGGCCTAGTTCTCTGCAGGACTGCCTTGTTCAATGATACCTTACATCTGATTAGATCTAGGACAGGGGTAGGCAACCTTGGCTCTTTTATGACTCGTGATGCTGGCTCAGGAATTCTGGGAGTTGAAGTTCACGAGTCATAAAAGAGCTAAGGTTGCCTACCCTTGATCTAGGACATCAGACTTACTGCAGGTCTTATGGTTAATATGTATCAGCTTTCCTAGGTAGATCAGACAGGAAATTTGATCAGATGAGCTCTTCTAATTTATTGTAAAGCTACATAAACAGAATCTTGCAAGTCTAAAAGTACAATCTCCCACCCTCTCCTTTACAGCCTCTCCTTTACAGCCTGAGAACTTGGGCTGTTTCCCAAGGCAACATCTCTTTCGCCATCTTCCATTTCCACATAACCTCACAACATGTCATCTTGTGGACCTTGGAAATGGGCTCTTTGTATGTGGGCCCCTCCCCTACTAGTCTATGTGATTGAATCCTCTCCAAAATCTAAATAGCTTCGGCCTTTTTTTTTTTTGTTTAGAGAAGACTTTAAAATCTGCCTTTTTCAGCAGGCCTTTCGCTACAGTGATTTTGGATTTTATTCCTTGGTGCTTGTTATTTCCTTCCCTGATAAACAGAGATTGGCGGTAGTTGATGCTTGTCGTTTTCTACTTATTTCACTGTTTTAACATATTGCATGCAGCCTAGACTCGCTTAGATCAGCATTTTTCAACTTTGGCAGTTTTCAAATGCGGTTCTGAAAGCTGCCAAGATTGAGAAATATTGATTTACATTATTGTGATAGTTTACAAAGTGAATAAATGTTTTTGAACTAGAAGGCAGAACTTCGTTTAGCAATGCAGCTTGTTGGGAAATCCTTGGGCAAGTCTCCCTCTCTCCGCCCTACAGCTACCCCATTGCTCAGCATGATAATATTCAACCATTTGGAGGGCTCATGGGGAGCTGTCTAGAGACATCTCTTGGCCTTCCGCAAAGGGGTCAAAACTTGGCTGGAGGGCCCTGCTTGAGGGATACAGAGACCCACACAACCATGGGGCTAGCTGACCCCAGGACAACAACTCCTTACCCCCCCCCCCATTAACAACGGCTAATCCTCCATCTTGGAATTCCTCACCTTTTGAAATGTAATGTTATTTTTGTAAGTTTAAAACTTTTAAATCTTAAATTAAGTCAGAGTTTAATGTTAATTTTATTAATTATATTGTCTATGAAGATTCTCAGTCCTCCAGGCCCTGGTTGTCCCAAAGGTGTTTTTTTCAGGAGACAGCTGGACTTTCTTGTTTTTCTCATCCAAGAAGCTTCTTCAGCTCCGACTGGATGGTGGTGATCCTTCCTTTCATTCCCCACCATCCAGTCAGAGCTGAAGAAGCTTCTTGGATAAGAAGCGAAACGTCTTCAAAGAAAAACAAGAAAGTCCAGTTGCCTCCTAAAACAGCATCTCTGGGATATTAATTATATTGTACACTGCCCAGAGCGGTTAAGAATTAGGAAATTAGAAAATAGTTACGTGCGTGCATGCATGCATACATACATGCATGCATACATAAATACATACACCAAGTTTTTAAAGCAACATTTCCATAAAGTATCACATAAACTTTTATTACGAATAAAGTCATTTCTCGATCGGAGCAGCTGGCGTTCGCATTCTCCTCCTCCTTCTCGTCACAATCTTTGGCGACGCTACATTAGTAACCATTCCGAGAAATGCCCCCCCCCCCAAAAGTAGCCGCTTTCGGGAGCCAATACGCGCGCGCAAACCCGAGATTCGGCGTTTCGCCGCCCCTGCTGGCCTCCGTTCCGTTTCCTTTTCCCGGAAAAGCGATGCGAGCGAAACTGTCATCGAGGGGTACCGCCCGCAGTTGCCTGGCCTCGGGAGAGGGAAGCTGACGCGGGGAACGAAAGAGCTTTCTTCCTGCGGCAGCTGCCGAGCAAGAACTGCAAGCTTAGAGAAGGGAAGAAGCGACTCTCTGGCGGGTGAGCATCTTCCCGGCTACTTCTGGACCGGCGTTATGTTTTTCCGTGGGCGGAAGGAGCGGGCGTGGTAAAACCAAGAAACGACGCGGGGGAATCAGAGAGCCGCGTTGCTTCCTACGGGCGAAGCCAAGTCAGAGCACGGATCTAACATTCAGTTATGATCTACTTGACTGGATTTTTATTAGCAGCAGTGTAGTGGAGGAAGAGTACGGATTTCAGCTGTCCTCGTCTTCAGAGGAGACAGCAAACGCAGACACCCCCCTCCTCCCCCGTGGTATTGGGATCGAAGTTGGACAGGAAAGGGTTCCGCGTTCTGCACACTAGTGTCTAGACTGGAATTTCATTAATTTGGCAATTGGTCCTCAAAGGTGGACTTTTGCAGCAGTGTTGTTCGTAAATTGATTATTAAAAATCTGGCCTCAGTAGTTGTGCTTTGGGAGAGCCAAGGTAGTTGAGATCCCATCCGCAGATGTGATTGGCTTTTAAAAAGTAAATAGCGGTTGTACAGATCGACTCCGCTTTGGAGCATTGGTGTGGTCCTCTATCCCCATACACAGGCTAACCATCTGGATTGGGCCTTGCTATTTGCTTTGAAAAGTCCATTAATGTAGTTGCTCTTTGTGTTAATCTCATCTGTTCCAGGTCAACTCTGTGGTTCTGCAACATTTCCAGTTATATGCTGCCATTTTCATTTCCTTTCAGTTGGACTGGACTAGACTAGACTAGAGCTGGAAGGGGACCTTGGAGGTTTTCTAGTCCAGCCCCCTGCTCAAGCAGAAGAATCTATACAATTTTAGATAAGTGACTGTCTAGTCTCTTCTTAAAAACCTCCAGTGATGGAGTGCCCACGACTTTTGAAGGCAAGCTGCTCCACTGGTTAACTGTCCTTACTGTTAGGAAGTTTCTCCTTAATTCCAGGTTGTTTCTCTCTTTGGTCAGTTTCCAACCATTGTTTCTTGTCTTGCCCTCTGGTGCCTTGGAGAATAATTTGACCCCCTCTTTTTTGTGGCAGCCCCTCAAATACTGGAATACTGCTATCACGTCACCCCTATTTCATCTTTTCTTTAGACTAGGCCAAACCCAAATTCTGCAGCCGTTCTTCATATGTTTTAGTCTCCAGGCCTTTGATCATGAATTAAGCAACTCACATACATGATGAACAGGTTGACTGGAGTGTTTTTCTTTAATGCCAAAAATGAAACATGAAATGTCTGTGGAGATGGTGAAATCAATTCCTAAAGAGGAAGAAATAGAAAATGTTCTTTCTAAAAACTTGTTTTGCTTTATCATCAATAAGAGGGCCAGGAAATACACTGTAGTTCTCTTAACTGCTAAAAAGCTTCCAGATGGAGGGTTTTCTGAACGATGACATGAATGAGGTGGGTCAATTACACATGAAAAATAATGAAATATGGAAACCCTTTGGTTTCCTATGAATGCAGTAAGAAATTGTACAATAAAACCTTTGATTGGAAGCGCCAATCACTCCTAAAAGTAATCATCTTGTGATCAGATATGGAACTTGCTACTATGGTTTAATGAAGTTACCGTTTCTTTGTTTAGGTAGACTCTTGGTGGCAAAACTGAAGTGGCTTATTAAGTTGGATGCCAGTTCAGCCCTCTACCTACCACTCTTCTTCACTCTGTTAATGACTTTGGTAAATAGGTAGCAGAAATGCTTACCACATTTGTAAATGATACAAAAATTAATATACCCCCTCTGAGAAAAACTGAAAATGATCTGGGTAAAGTTAGATAAATGGGCTAAAACCAACAACAGTGTATTTAATGAGTGTAAAATTCTTGGAAATAGAAATCAAACCAACAGAGATAGGATGGGAGGATATTAGGCTTGGTAACAGTATTGGTGAAAAAATTCCTGGAATACTAATTGATTGGAATCTGAGCCAGTTTGTTCTAGTGGTTAAGGCACCAGGCTAGAAAGTAGTATGATGTATCAAATATAATGGGAAAACAATTCCACTATTTTTTGAATTGGTCAGATTCATTTTAAATATGGGTTCACCCGGATTCTTATAAACTGGAACACATTCATTTTGGCTCTTGGTAATTATGCATTTTGTTTTCTTCAGAAATGGCCAGCACTGTGACAGAGCATGGAAATGTGAGGATCATCACTCAAACAGTCCCACAGACAGGCTCTGTGCCAACACCGGCAGCTACCGTCAGAGTGGTTGACTCTGCTTCCGGGGCATCTCAGTTTGTACTAACCCATAACAAAAAGATCAAGAATACTCTGCTCAATGTGATTGGGGTAAGGTCCTCTAGATTTGTCCAACTAAGCCCAAATTCTGTGAAGTCCTCCACATTTCTCTGGGTGAGACAATTCAGATCCTCAACACCGTTCAAGGAAGACTTTTTAACAAATGGAATTATAAGTAGAATCACAGACTCTTTTCATTTTTAAATAATTATGCTAGTGTCTGAAAGGTACACTAAATTTTAGTTCCGTATGTAGAGGGAGAGCATGGTTTAATCCTTCCTCTATCCATTCCTGAATTCTATTGTAGTAGAACTTATTACCTGGACTGCTACCATCCACATTTTTTGCCTAATCCCTAAATAAGAAGCTCGTGCTCCAAAGATATTACAGCTATTTTTGTTTTAATATGCTTTTAGCAGATAGTTTTGCTACTGTATTACTTCTATTGGGATTGTTGGTAACCAGATACAGTATAGAAGAATAACCTTGGATTCTTCACAAACCTAGAAATTTTTTTGGTTTTGGACAGCATTGAAGACAAACTCCTACTTTTTAGTATGGCATGCCTAAAAAAATTAGTATTGCAAGACACCTCTTAATGGCTTGGTTTTTCCTTAACCAATGCTCAAAGTCCACTCTATGTTTCTTTTTTAAAAAGTGAGGATTATATTTTAAAAAAGGAAAGCCAAAGGAGGAGGGGGCAGCACAAGGAGGGCACTGGATGATCTCTCTCCAGCTGAGCCCCTGCAAATAATCTTGAATCTATGCTGAAATCCCAAGAACATATTTAAATTCACCATTTAGTTGAAATGATGGCAGTGATTTTATTTATAATTCTGAGTTGATTTTCGTCTGCCCCCACTCCCCATTGTTTAATATTGCTGTCTTATCCAAAATACTCTTTCTAATAGAGGAAAAACTTGATTTTGTAGGATATTTCTCATTAAAACTTTTGACATATTGGGGATCGCATAGTACAAAATACACCTTGGGTCTGTTAAATGGTGATGTTGATGCTTTAGATACCTAAATACATCGCTTGCACCCTTTTTCTTTTTTCCTTCAGATCATGCAGATTGCTTTTGGGGTTACGCACGTGAGCTTTGGCATTGCCCTGACAGCAGCTCAAAAAAGCTTCAGTATCACTGTGCAAAGTGGCACTTACTTCTGGATTGGAATCCTGGTAAGCAAACTTTTTGAGAGGCACAAAGGTTTACCCATCTTCAGTCTATAGAAGCTTCTGTAGGGTTCTATATAGTTTCAGAATCAGGGAGAGATCTAGCAAACCCCCTTCCCCAAGTAGGCAATATGTTTGTTCAGCACAAACCTTTCCTGACACCTTTCCCCCCCCCCAACTTGGTGCTTTCCAGATATCTTTGAATTCAGTTCTCATAATATCAGTGTTGGTTAGAAAATAGTGAAGTTAAAATCCAATGCAAGCCAAAGACATCAGGTTAAGGGATACTTTTTTTTCACATAGAAGACTTTTTAAGTTTCTGAGCATATTAAGTTTCTGAGCAAATTCAACTGGCATGCCTTAACCTACTCCTAAGGGAAACTGGAATAGGCTTTTTCTCATCTTTTAGTTGCCTTCAATTCTTAATGCTTGAGTAAGGAAGAGGGATGTAAATTTAATTAATAAATGTTTAGTTTGATTCTAGGAGCACTGGTTCTACAATGTAAAATAGGCTTGCCCTCATACCTGCTATTTGTTTTTCTTTGCTTCTGTAGCTCTTGATCACTGGGTCTTTGTTGGTAGAAGTTGAGAAAAGACAATCTGTTCAACTAGTAAGTATATCCCCAGATTTATCAGTCTGGCTTTGTTTTTCCTCGCTCAGGTAAAGCTACCATAGAATGGTGGCCAAGGTAAATTTCACTACTTGAACAAAAAATTGCTGAATTATACTAATGTATAGGAAAAAGAGAAGGAGGTTTATATCATGGAAGCAAGACAAAAGTGCTCACAATAGATAATAAAGAAACTATAGGTAGTGTAATTTGGAGTTTATAAGCAAAGTACAGAGCCATTTCTCATGGCCAAATTAAAGTATTTTCCATCAATTCTTGAACTGGCAGAAAATTATGCTGGTATAAAATTTGCTATCTCCAAAACGTCACCCTGCAGAGATACAAAACTAGCAAATTGTGCTCTCTTTATCTATGACAAATTGGTGGATTTTGCTCTCACCAAATCACTCTCTTGAAGGTGGGAGGAGGAGGAGGAGGAGGAGGAGGAGGAGGAGGAGGAGGAGGAAATTTTTGACAATGATTAACCAGCTTTTAAAACTTGCTCACAAATGCCTCGCATGGATGCATTCAAAAGGAATCTGTCAACTGATATCAGCTGATCATTGGCATCCTTTCTGACTGCTAACAAGCACTGAGGAGAATTGGGCTGTGAAATAGTAGAGAGAGCTGGTTTCACTACTTCACCATGCTGCTCCCATCCACCCTTGCAGCCCAGTAATCAGCTGCTGTTTGGGTTGATCCAGGTCTCTGGGATAGGGATTAAATTATGATTGCTCCAATGAGCTCATGGATGGTATAATTTCTTCCTATTAGTAGAAACCAGGTTGCAGAATTACTGACATGCTATCATTTCACTATTTTAGCTTTTAAGAGGCAATATACAGAGAAAAATAGCCAGATACCAGGTGTGGGAGGGAAAGGGGTGGCGTGGGTTATGGAAGATGTTGGGGCAGCTCAGGTCAGGAGAAATGCAAGTGGGTGGGCTGAGAAAGGTGTGGGGGGGATCCTTCCTCCTTGTTCCTGTTCTGTCCCAGCCTTTGTGAGTCCTTGTTAAGCTCACAAGGAGAAACTTCTCTTCCAACAAGCAGGCTGGAATCACAGGAAAAAACTCCTTTTATTATTTACAGACCTGAATAAATGTCCAAAGCAAACAAAACACAGTACACTGAAACTTGATTTCTTAATACAAATGGTTGCCTTCAGCAACCAGCATCTCCCACACCTTCCCTTTTATTATGCAGCCAAGGTGTGCCTTCTCCTTTGCCTTTGGAGCCGCCCCATTGCATTCCTCTGTCCGACTCTCTTTTCTTGCTGGCATTTACATGCATCCTGGATATCTTCCAGCTGTGAGTCATCACTGTCCAACTCAGCCTCCCAGCACAGCTGTGTCTCAGCCTGAGTGCGAGTAGAGGGGCCAGGCTCCTCCTCAGACTGTAAGTTTGGAAGCTCCTCAGAGCCTTCCTCTGATTCTGATGTCACTCCAGGCCCCTCCTCCTCTAATTCCTCTGATTCAGCTGCCAGGTCCACTGGCTGATGAGGAATCCCAACAGCTCCTTCCCCTTTCCCATACCAGCAGACAGGTAAATGGCTGCTGCCAGAGGAGGGGAAGGGAGCAAAGGGTTGCAAGTCTGGCTGGGAAACTGTCACAGAATATTGAAAATGAAGATCATGCGACTGGAGCAGCAGCTCATCAGTACAGCAGCAGCCAGTAGCACTGAAGCAGCCACAACATTCTCAAATTTCATTCGTGAGACATGAGTCCTATATTTTGGATTCATTCTGTAAGTTAGCCCAATCAAAAATTGTTGCCCTATGATGCACCATTTTGCCTGGTTAAAGGTCATGACAAGAATAATTTTAGTACTATATCGACAGATGCTTCTAAGAGTTACACAAGATGTATAACAACTAACATTTATCTAATATATTGATGTAGGTGAAATCTGCTTTCTTTGCCAACTTGATATTTTGTATAGCTGGATTGATTGCAATAGTCCTACATGGTATTGAGATTGCACAAACTGTTAAAGAAGGAAACCCATGTGACTCGCACCCCAGTCACTACTGCCGAAATTATCATCAGGTAAATTCCTGACCTCCCTTCATGTGTTCGTAGCTGCAACTGAAATGATTCTGACATAGTAAGATTCAGACCTTAAAAGACTGTTCAACTAGTCTAAATTTAGTATAGATATGAGCCCTGTTCTCCATTATGGGCTTTATTTTGTTTTGTTTTGTACTTTTTTCTGTCACTTGCAGAACTATAATTAAATTGTGCTACTCTGATATTTTTAAATGGAAACAAACACATTGACTGAGTTAACATATTACATTAAGCCATGATTTCCTTAATGATTTACCATGATTTGACAAGTAAACTGCAAATAAATACACACAACATTCTAAGATATAAATTAGTATTAACAATTCACAGTGGTTGAGTTCACACAGGATGCTAAGTCAAAATTAAACATTATTTCTAAGTGTAGTGTTATTTCTAAGTGTAGTGTCAAAATCCAATTACTGTATTCTTTCTATATTGATTGAGAAACTCATGAAATAATTTCTTGAATTTTGATCTATTCAGCCTTTCCATCTTAGCATTTCTTTTCAACACTTCCCTGCGTATCATCTCCCTGAATGTAGCAGTAATTTTTATGAGCATAACTGTGCATGTACTTTAACACACACACAAAAAAAATACATTAGAATTACAAAATGCTCTCTGGCTCATGTACCCATTGCCCAGAACATCTGCAATAATATCAATAGTTTTGCAATTTGAAAAAATGAAATACATGTGTATTTATAGTGGGTCCATAAATAGGAAAACTTGAAGTCATCGTAATTAATCTCTAAAGAAACCAGATGCTTGGATATTTTCTGTGAGAAAAGGTTTAGGATTGCTTCACTTGTGTTTCCCTTTTTTAGAATCACTGAAGGCATATAGGATTTTTTATGTATGTATAAAATAAAGCTTGTTTGCTGCTAGAAACCTTATCTCATACATACCGTTGCGTATTCAGATCAACATCACAGGCCTGTGTCTCTCACTTCAAAGGACATAAAAGTCAGTCATGGCAATTGTCCTACCAAGACAGTCAGCCCATCTTCATATCTGTTATTTTCAAACATGATAAACATCTGGTTTAGGATTATGAGAACTTCTAGGGGCTAGGAAAAGCAAGGATCTAGTGATATACAACATCTCTGGGTTTTCTTTACTGATATCTGCAACATTAGAATTTGACTGGCTACATTATATTTTGGGTTCTCAAAAAATCCAGTGTGGATAAAATTGAAGGGAAGCCAAATAATTCCTCATTTTGGTAACACAATTGAAAGGAAACAACTGAAATGTTAAATTTAAATAAAATACTAAGTGTATCTGAAGAAGCCACTTTACAGCTTCTAAATCAGCGGTTCTCAACCTATGGGTCGCGACCCCATTTGGGGTTGACCGACCATTTTTCGGGGGTCGCCAAAGGCGGCGATCCGCCATTTTTTCCCCTCAGGGGGCGGCCCCGCACATGCACGCTGCGCATGGGGCGGCCCCCGCCCCCATGCGGCAGCGCAGCGCATGCGCAGAACGTTTGTGTGACGGGGGTCGCCGTCACACAAACGTTGAGAACCACTGTTCTAAATTAAGTTGAGCAGCTATGTCAACACAGATTTTTTAAAAATGTATCTATGTTGGTGGAAAGCCCATCTATGTAGCAATAGTTCCATTACAATGATGTTATTTTGAATGGTAGGCAATAATTAAGCTGGTTGAAGAATATATTTGAGGCTGTCAAATGGGACAGAGATTAATGGAAGAGGTGCTGACTTCTGCTGCCTATTAAAGTCAGGTCTACTTCAGATGGTAGTGAGGTTTCTGACAAGCAGAAAGAGCAGCTTGTCACCTGGAATATGTCTAGCAGGGTGATTAAAAACTGAATTAATGTGTCAATTTTCTTATTACATTATAGTATAACAACACAGAAACTATTATAAGAAAGCACTGTTTTGCTGTCAGATCAGTCTGGAAGAATAATTATGTTGAAGATCTATGCAACAGTGCTGCCTGCACTGTTCAGTCACTAGCTTAAAGAAAAGATCTCATTTGAAAGGAGGGAGGTGCATCCTGATTGTTTACTGTTTCTTCAGTCTTCATCATAAAAAATTGCTCCATAGTTTTGTAGCCAGAATAAAATGGGAAAGCTAGAAATATAAGGAAGACGTAAAATCAAAAGAAACTAAAAACCCTGGAAAAGCAAAGAAGCCTATTGTGGTCACCAGGCCACTTTGGAGAAAAAGAAGGAACCCTGCCTTTCTTTGCAAGGGAAAGATAAGACCTGGGTGAATGAAGCCATTTTATTCCATGCCCACCTTGGATACTCAAGGAAGGTGGCACCCTAGGCAAAAGTCTGAAAAAGGTCTTGTCTTGCATGGGAAGGATGAAGCTGAGGCAAGCAAAAGCCCATCCCCTCAGGCTTCCTGACTGAGGATCACAGTAGGTGACTCCTGTAGCCTTCACCTGTACCCCGCTTTTTATTTCAGAGGAGCTCAGGCAGTACTCCTGAGTGACGTGGTACAAAAAGAGCAAATAAGCCCCAAGTTATCAACATACACCAAATTAAACTAAGATTATATTAAGTGTAACTAAATTAAAAAAGTAAATAATTGAGTAATATTTGGATTTTTAGTTAATTGTTTTTCACTTCACTGATATATGATTTCCTGTAGTCCCAAACAACTATAATGATAATGTTTTCAATTCTATGGTTTATATAACAGAGGAATTTACAGTCAGGTAGAGTGGTAATGATCAGCACAATTGTATGTGATTTTCCCCACAGATTATATTGTATGGCCTGAACTCTGTGTTCATCATCTTTGTGCTTCTTGAAGTATTCTTAGCTGTCATGGCTGTGATCAGGCTCAAGATTCAAAAGCAACAGACCTATCAACCAATGGTGAGGATAAAAACCCAACTAGCTTGTCTATTTTACTTTTGTCTGGGTTACTGATGTAGCAAATGTAGTCTTAAACCAGGAGCTTTGAGGGCTATAAAGGAGAGCCATGTTAATCAAGGAGCTAGATAATCTGTGTTATCAAGGAGAGATCCAATCTAAAAACGAAGGAAAAAAATTCCTGACAGTGAGAATGATTAATCAGTGCAACAAATTGCCTCCAGAAGATGTGGGTGCTCTAACACTGGAGTTATTAAGAAGAGGTTGGAGAGCCATGTGACTGAAATGGTATAGGGCAGTGTTTCTCAACCTTGACAATTTTAAGGCATGTGGACTTCAACTCCCAGAATTCCACAGCCAGCATTGCTGGCTGTGGAATTCTGGGAGTTGAAGTCCACATGCCTTAAAATTGTCAAGGTTGAGAAACACTGGTATAGGGTTTCCTGATTGAGCAGAGATTTTGGACTAGAAGACCTCCAAGGTCCCTTCCAACTCTGTTGGAATTCTGTATAATCCATAGTAGCAAAAAAAAAAAAAAAAAAACCAACGTAAGAGTTTGATAGTATCTTTCCCATCTAACAAATATTATTAAATCCACATCACTCTATATACATGATGAAGTAAGCCACAGCTCATGAAAGCTTATGCCCTGTAATAAAATTTGTTAGTTGGAAAAGGTGCACCAGAGCTTCCTTCTGGTTTTCAGGACCTGAGCACTCTCAAATCCTGAACCTCCTTCTGTTAATATTTAGAGATTCCCAAGTGTTCTCCAGGCGTTTTGATTCTACTATTTTGGGAATTATTATGCAGAAAAATGAACCTTATTCTTGAGCAATTAAGTGGTTAAAAGCCTGTATATTTGCTAGATTAATCTTTATTGTGTATGTTTTCCAGACATCATGAAGACAAGTGGTTTCTCTTCTCCTGTCGCACCATGCTGAATATTTACTCTAGCGACTTCCCTGGCTTAAGCTAGTGTGAGCTTCCTACCATCTCTTGACTTTTTCAGTAAAGCTTCCCTTCCCTTGCTAAATCCCAAAGACCTGTCTCCATCTAGAAATGGAGAACAAGTTTTGTATTTGTTTATTATGAACTTCTCCTATATACCCTAGGAAAGCCACAGGACTGTCCCAAATACAAGGCCTGTTACACTCCCTGCATTATGAAATATCCTCTGTAGTTTCATCAACTTAGCCTGACAAGCACCAATCTTGATATGTGCTAGGGGTTCTCAGTGTAGATTTTATCATAGCTCTACCATCATTCCCTTTCATTTGTAACTTTTTGAGGTCTTCATGAAGAAGAGACAGATAATCTGCAAGTGATCTCCCCTCCTCCCCTTCCCCCCCCCCCGGCAATGCCATTTGTTTGGAATCGCCTAAAATTTGTATATTTTCATCTGTGTGTTTGTATGAGAGACAGATTTCGCCAAGCAGGCTTTCTGAGTTTTTTCAACATTTTTCTTTTTTATAAATAACTATTAAAATTTTAAGATGACAGAAACTATTGAGAACTAATATTAGAATAAAAAGGAAGAAAGAAAAGAAATAAGAACAGAAAAAAACACCGAAAAATATAATTTCTGATTTTTTTTACATCAGCTATATATGCTATATATGCACATTAAGCTTTTACCCTATAGTTACAACACTGTTTACATTTTTATAACTACTTTCTAATCATCAAAACAATGTATCGTAATTTCATATATTTTTTTTAGTTTCACACAAAAGGTCAATAAAGGTTTCCAATCAGCACTGAACTGTACTATAATGAAAGGCACTGATTAGGAGTCAGAAAAGTGGTTAGTGTTTGTACTGAAAGGAGAGAGAGATGTTCTGCTAAGTTAATTTATTTTTGTTGCCCTGGGGTTTAGTTTTACTTTAGTTCAGTGATGGCGAACCTTTTAGAGACTGAGTGCCCAAAATCTGCCCCTGCCCTGCCCATGTCCCACCCCCACTCTGCCCCACCTGCATGCCCACAGGGCCACTCACCGCCTCCAGGGCCCGCCGCAGATCACCCAGGCAGCCCAGCAGCACAATGGCCATGCCCACGCCCCGCAGCATCAACTGTGCGCAATGGGGCGTGAGGGCAGAGTCTTGTCTACGCTGCCTGGCTGTCATGTCCTTGGCTGTGCTGCTACGCATGGGCCACACTTGGGGGTGACTCTCCTCCAGGGGGGCTGCTGGTGAGGAGGGGTCACGGGCAGAGGCAAGGCTGGGGCAACGGCATGTGTGCCCACACAGAGGGCTCCGAGTGCCGCTTCTGACACCCGTGCCATAGGTTCGCCATCACTGCTTTAGTTTATTAAAGATAATAAAAGAGAATGGGCAATATGTTACCAAGTAATTAGCAGTGATGTGTTGCCTTGAGGAAAAAAGACAACCCCTGCCAAAGGAGGAATCATTCAATACATGGCACTGAAGCAACCTATCAGGAGCTTGAATTGAATTTCTTAAACCGTTACCACACTGTGATGTCATACAGAATTATTTCCATAGGCAAAAGAAACAAATGATTATGGGCCAATTTAGGCATTCAGCAAAAAAGGAATTGCCTAAAGACTTCTCTTGCCCCACTTTCTGTAGCAAAGGTTTAGTATTTCATCCTCATGAATACATTAACTGGCCCACAGATCCAATATAACCACTCAGATTGATAATGTCTCTTTTGATCAGATGAATTTTTCTGCTGTTTCACAAAGACTTGGTTGTTTTGTCTTCACAAGCTATTTCCATATGAAATGCTTACTTTTTAATTTAATTCAGTTTTAGAGAAACTTTTGTGTCTGCCCATGTTTAAATTTCACAGTTGATATATACAAAGGTAATGCCAGGGCTAAAAACTAAGAATGACACATGGTAATTCTTCCAAACTGAGTTCTTTAGTATTTCATACTTATAGACAGAATCTTACCAGACTGAGCAGGCTACTATCTGTATCTACCATGTTCTGTGAAAGATTAGGGAAGGGCTGTTTACACCCTTTCTTTCACACATAATATTTGGACTGAGTTGCCTCTTACACCTCTGGATTGCATCCTTTACCTCCTAGATCTCATGACATCTATTGCAAGTATTTTAATGCAAGTAAAATGACCTTATTATGTTTACAGCTTTTCCTGTAAAGCTGTGAAACGAAGAGCCATTTCACCAAGCAATCTGTACTTCAACTCAAAATCATCATGAATTTTAGGGGGGTTGTGTAGGCCTCTTTCATAATAAGACAGGTCCCAGAGTGACTGGGATATAGTGCTTGAGTAAATATTGTGAATGCCTCCATTTCTACTGTTCATTTTTTAACATAGTAATGGGTGCTTCTTGTAATGGAAACAAGTGCCTTTAGTTTTCTAAACTATGTAAATATGACTTGCCATGTTCTCATTGATATTTGCATTGAAATAACTATTCTTAACAGTTGCATTAATACTACTTTGGAGAATGTATGTTAACATTTGTATAATTATCAGAAATATTTCTTGTACTTAATGTAAGTCAATTTTCTAATCCCTTATTAGGATTATTCAGATATACAGCTCTGAAAAGAAAAACATGATTTATGGAACATGTGCTTGCACTTGTAGCATTCACTGGGAATACTGTAAATTAAATAATCTTTACCCAGGCTTATGTATCAGTTATGGAGGGCAGCAGCAGAACACAGCAAAAGATACACTTGCTTTAAGATAATTCCTAGCAGGTGCTCTGTACATGCTGTATACAGTAATCTCCCAGGCATTTTTGAATTGGGATCTCTATAGAGACCTATATTTTTATATACTATTCCTGAATAATTGTATTACATTCAGTGTTTGTTTGGGTTTTTTGTATTCAGATTACATAACCAAATACTGTGGTGTGAGTAAGTGTGCTAATAAATGTCAGGTAAAAATTTCCTGAGGAATTTTTTCTCTATGCATGTTCTGATAATTCCTGTTATAGTCAGCAGATCCACAATATGATGAAATCTAGTGTTACAGAATACACCTAATAAATCTTGAAAGGCAATCCATATCCTCTTGTTTCTTCATAGAGACAGCTTTAAGTAAAATAATATCCCAATTATATTAATCATAATAGTTCAAATATAGAAGAGCAGATATATAAAAGACTCCTTTGTAATGAAGGAGTCTTGTAATGAATCAAATTGAACAGAAAATGGACCCTATTTTAAGCCCATTTGAAATCCTAACCCAGGGTAGTAGATGCAGGGCTTACTTGCCTCCATAGATGAACAGGCTATTGATGCTTTTTTTCACACTGCACAGCATCTCCAGCAAGATGTAAAGGGGAAAGAGCTAGAACTTTCAGAGATTAATTGTAAGCAATTTTCACCTTTATTTGCAAGCTAGGTCAACAAGGATTACCTCAAATTGGATTCCAGGTTTGGAATATATCAGGTAACTTGACAACTGCTTGTCAAGTTCACATAGCTTGCAGCCTTTGAGGACATTGAGAGGGTATATATAGAGATGAGGCGGTCATCCATTTGTTTAATCCTTGCCCTTCCTAGTTGGCTACTCTAGTTCAGGCATCATGATTAAGACAGGCAACCAATATCTCTGAATGTGGAATATGTTCCTAACTGCTCAAAAGAGTTAGATATAAGAATATGAAAATATGTGGAAAAGAGAAGATTTTTTATAATAATTATAGGCCAATTTTAAATCTTCTATTGGGTATGATGATTGAGGCTGTAGAAACCCCAAAGTTCTGTATACTGTTTTAACAGTATACTGTTTTACCAACTTATGAAAGCATTCAGTATGCTGAAGAAATTTGCTGCTTCTCTACCCCAAGATTGCAACCAGTGCCCATTAAATTAGTTCTAATGGAATGAGACAGGCACCTTATGTTAACTCAATCATTAAGTTAACATACCAAGGCAGAATATCAGCGGATAACCCAAATCTGCAAAGATGAAGTCAGGAAAGCAAAGGCTCAGAATGAACAAAGATTTGCAACAAAAGTCAAAGATAATTATAAAAAAAGTTTCAACATATAAATAATAAAAAAGTAAAGAAAACAGTCTACTGAAGAGAGAACATGGCAAGGAAGTAACAGGCAGTAGAGAGAAAGCAGAGCTGCTTAACTCATTCCTTACATTAGTCTTCACATAAAAAGAAACTATAGCCCAACCTATCAAAAACATAATCACAAAAGACAGACTAGAAATAAAAATTAAAATAAGCAAGAAAATGATAAGATAACACCTGTCTGATCTTGATGAATATAAATCACCAGGACCTGACAGATTACATTCCAGAGTTCTGAAGGAGTTGGCAGTTGTTACCTAAGAATAGCTGTACCATATCGTAAGAGCTGGTGTGTTTCCCATTTTCCAAAAAGGGGGAAAAAACAGACCCTGGAAAATAGACCAATCAGCCTAACATTAATACCTGGGAAGATGCTGGAAAAGCTCATAAAAAAACAGACCTGCAAACATCTAGAAACAAAATAACTAGAAGCCAGCAAGGGTTTGTTAAAAATCATGCCAAACCAATCTTATTTCTGACAAATCATAACTTGCTGTTCAATGACTCATTCAGGCAACTGCCTCTCCTGTTAGTTAATATGACCAATTACTTGCAGAGAAGAGCAACAAAGATGATCGGGACTGGAGGCTGAAACATATAAAGGTTGCTGGAATTGGGTATGTCTAGTTTAATGAAAAGAAGGACTAGGGGTGACATGATAGCAGTGTTCCAATATCTCAGGGGTTGCCACAAAGAAGAGGGAGACAAGCTATTCTCCAAAGCACCTGAGGGCAGGTCAAGATCAAGGAGAGAAGCAACCTAGAACTAAGAAGAAATTTCCTGACAGTTAGAACAATTAATCAGTGGAACAATGTGCCTCCAGAAGAAATCAATAAGAAATACATTTCTGAAGATTCCCTTCACCAGAAGCATGATTAAAGGTTCTCAAGGAAATGGTAATGGTATGGAATTTAGTTTCAGTTTTTATTTTGATTGCATTATTTTATATTCTATTTTTAATATATAAGACAACTTTAGATTGATGTAAACAAAGATAGGGTTAAAATATCAAAAGTAAATTAAGCAATACTTCTAGTTATCTTAATAACTTTATTCCAGGGAATAAGACATAATATGTAACAACGTAACAAATTCATGCATCTCATGTGGACAATGATCCATACAAATTTATACAATTATCAATTTATTACTCTTTGTGCCACATTATTCTCTGTGCTACGTTTAAGCACTGAATGATTGAAATATTAGAATAGAATATCAAAATGATGTCAAATTCATTTTCTTTTCACAAGTTCACATGTTTTTCACGTATGATACAGAAAACAGGATAATCATACTTGTAGTTTGATCAGATTTGGCAAATTTTCAAAATAAATTTTACATTCTTTGCTTTTTCACACAAATAGCAAATTCCAATGAATTCAAAGACAAATTTCCTATTAAAAACAAATAAGGAATGTTATACTCAAGTGCTCCTGTCAATAAAAGAATTAGTTCAAATTTTAACTTTTAAGTTCAAAGTAGTTTGGCCAAAGCTACAGGAACTGCCTTTTCTTAGACATTTATAGTATTAATGTTATTCAAAATAGTGTTTTGCATATATTATATAAATATATATAAATGCAACAGTAACTATGGCTGAAGCCATCAATCATTGATTGAAGTCTTTAATATGCTTATACTGATTCTCCACAACTATCTTCCACGGCCAAAAATCAGAAGTGAGAGGTTCAGGGATGACTAGGTATTCCTGGTTTAAGAGTTGACCAAACAAAAAGGTTTTTTTCCCCCAATTGTATTTTCCTAATTCAATTAGGAATTAGGAATCAAGTAAGGAAAATGTAATTGCTAAAAGCAGACTTTTAAGTTCAATCAAATGAAAATAAAATACACTAAATACAAAGATCATATTAAAGATCATATTAAATGCCCATATTAAATGCCCATTAAATATGTATTCTTCTATCTAAACATTCAAGAAATGCCTGAAACTTCTCTTATTCTATATGTTTAAATTTCAGGTAGGTTGGTGATGAATGCATTAGTTTCATGGCAAAAGTGGATTTAATTTCTATTCTGTTTTAACTCTATTAAATTAAGGACAATGTGAAAGTTTAAAAGTCTCAAGAGAGATCAGCCCAAATCATATATGCCAGGAAGAAAATAAAGGATTGACTTAATCTTATATTAATACTACGTTCTATGTTCCACTATATTGATCTATCTGCTTTTAATGTATTTTAATCAATACTATGTATTAACTTTGATCGTACTGTCACTGTTCAATTATTAGCTGTTCACCAAAAATATTTCACCATATTTTTCTTTCAAAAAAAAGGGGGGGGAGGGAATAAGCAACACCCTTATCACCAAAAACCCTTTATACTTCTAACTCTAGACAATTGTTTTAAACTTTCAACTATCAGCTTTCATTGAGTATATAATGGTATTTTTAATGGAACTTCCCCGACCAAACGCTTTCCAGATGTATCGTTACTACAAAGCTCAGAATGACCAACCAGCATGCCTTTCAGAATTCTGGCCCTCCTATTTCCAAAATACTTACAGGGCATTACACTGCGAAGACTATTGTATTGGATTTTTAAGCACTCTTGCCCCGCATATGGATTCCACTAACAAGCAGCGAATACCGGAAGTTCTATTCAAGAACAATTGAAACTTACCCTCTTTTCTAGCCAAGGAAGAGCTCTAGCTTACGTAACTTCCAATGAACACAGCATTCGCTGCGGACTGCTACAAAGAACGCTATCTCGTTCGTAGATCTGCGCATCCACGTGCGTCGCATATGGGACGTCATCCGAAACGGCCCTACTGGAGTCTTCCTCGTGGGGACGTCATCCGAAAGGGCCCTACTGGAGTCTTCCTCGTGGGGTGGGAGAAGGGGGGAGAGAAGGAGGGACAGAGAGAGCACAAGTTTGCTCTCTAGCGAAGAGACAGAAAGGCAGGAGATGGCAGCGCTTATCCCCGAGGAGCGGCTGCAAGCCGACCGACTGTGTCCAGAGGCGGAACGGGGTGAGCAACTTCAGCTGGGAAACGAGGAAGGGGCTATCGCCTTAGTGGAACCTGGATCTGGGAAGCTGCAAGTAACTGCTTTGGGTAAGAAGCGGAAGGAGGCACCACCTATCCCCAAAGGAAAGCCTAAATCTGGGCGAGTATGGAAAGACCCCGGCAAAAAGCGGTAAGAATGCGATCTTGGTCGCCAGATGATCGGACGTAGCATCTTGGGGAGCAGTAAGAGCGGGTTTCCTCAACATCAGCAACTTTAGTGGACTTCCAACTCCCAGAGTTTCCCAGCAAGGATTCTGGGAGTTGAAATCCACACATCTTAAAGCTGCTTTGAGTTAAAGAGAAATGGGCTGCTGTTTATGTGTATTTCATACCGCTTTGTTAAACAGAAATACTGTGTATTGGTTAGTTTTCCTAGAAGAGTTTGTTTTATGCACTTCATATCTATTTGGCATGCACACTAAAATGTTACAAAAATAAAATAAAACGTTGATATTCATCCTCAGTTCAAACTGAGTACATTTAGAGTTTATATTGAATAACCAACCTTTGGTGGCACACCCAAATTAAATTCATAGGGTGTTTTTAATATCATTTTTATTTGTTATGATAATGTTTTTGATGTGCGAAAGTAAGCTTTTGTTTACTTCGAATTCCTTGTCAAGTAAGAGTACGCAGGACTCTTATCATAGATTTGCTTCACACAATATACTAAATATTACTAAGATTGTTTGGTTTAGTTGTATTGTTTAGTTTATGGCTTAGTGTATTGCATCTATCTGAGTATTAGTTATTCAGTAAGGCTTTATTAAGGCACACTATGTCTGTCTCACAAGGTGATACCATCTAGTGCTGAAGCTAAGCTCTTATTTTTAGCTGAGGATGTAAATTTCCCCATCTCCCTAGGTTTTCCCACATGATCCAGGACAAGCCTTTACATACTTCCTGGCAACATAAAATGAAAATACGTCAGGAAAAGAAGCTAATCAAAGATTTTGCCCAGGAGTTGAAGGAACAAAAACAAAGAGAGCGTGAGGTAAGTAAAATATGTTTCTCTCATATTTCTGGAAGCAATATATCCATAATATTATTAAGTAACTATAATGTATCCCCAAGCATCTCTGCCCAGAGACCAATATTTTTTGTCACTCTAATTTAAGTTATGGACTGAATTAGCAGGAAAGGACTAGTCCTAAGTCTGTTGAACTCACACCCTCTTTTCTGACACTGTACAAGAATTGTGAACAAAATTCTTGCTATATCTAATGCATATGCCTTTGTCCTGCAGATTGATATGTTGTAGCTATTTTGAATTAGGCATCTACAAGTTTTGTACTTATTTCTTCTATTAAAATTTTAAAATAGGACTGCTACCCTTTTATTCAGGCATACATGCATAACTTTGATGATGCCATTATTTTGTAAAGCAGAATATGAATTTGTGCATATCTTTGTTATTGAATGTTAATAGAGCTTCAATACGTATATATTAAGAAAGACTGAGGGAAAATGTAATACCAGAGCTTCATGCTTGTTTTATTTATCACATAAACAAAATCACATAATATACAACATGGCCATCCATGGGGGAAAGATGGGGTAAATGATACTTGCATTAGATGTCATGACATAATTTTTGTATTTGATATTGTTACTACGCAGATGCTGCTGACATGTGCCAGTCTGACCCCCCCCCAATTCAATCAATTCAAATAAAAAAATCATTAGGGCTAATTTACAAGTTCTTTACTAAAAAAATCAGTGCTGATTTGAGCTACCTTTGTCTTACATAAATCCCACAAATGTTCTGTTCATTACAGTGAAGGTCTCAACACATAGATTCTAAAGTCACATCATGTTCTGCTTAAAAGAAACCTCTGAGGGCCTCATAAAGTAGCAACTTTTATTCTAGTTTATCTGTCTGTAAAAGTTTGATGAGTGAGAACTTTTCAAGTAATAAGCAACTCAGTAAAACTTTTTTCTGGTATTATATAATTTTGCTACTTAATATTGAGATTCATTAATAAAGTCAGCTTTTGGATTCATAAAGCTGTTTGCAAATGCTGTTTTTTCTATCAGTATTTATATTCTGTATTTTTTGGAATTGTTTGGTCTTATTTTTTGGGCTGGGACAAATAAGATAGCATGCATGATTTTTCCCCCCCTTTAGGAGAAAAAACAGCGAAGGAGGGATAACTTAAAAAGAAGACTAGAAAATGAGAGGAAAGCAGAGGTTGTGCAAGTGGTGAGTTTTGGATCAAGTTATTTTCATCCAGAAAGAAAACTTCCTTCCTTGGTTGAAGAAGAGTGGAGTGCATTTCATCATTAGTTAATGTTTTACTTAATTTGGTAGAAGTACATTATAATGATTTAAGTCAATAGCAATATATAATAAGTTATGCTTCTTCGTTGCCATTAAGGAGGAGCATTTTGAAAACTGGAGGCGGAATTATTGATCCAATAACTACACAAATTTTATATCTCTGTTGCCTCAAATGGGAAGTCTTTGGTGAAATGGAACTGCGTTTAATTTTTCTTGGGGAAGGAAAGCATAAGGGCCTCAATGTGAGACGCTGGCAATCCAAAACAAGTAAAATTGTACAATAGTTGTATGTAAATAGATTTTCATAGATGTAAATAGATTTGGGATCAAGATATTGATGTGTTGCTAGTTTTTTGCAGCCATGACTGAAGGACTTTGGCTCTCTCTCTCCCAGCCTGAAGCATTAGGATGGTGGATAGGATTCTGGAGGTTAAGTTCGTCTCCTAGGCTGAGTTTAAATGGAAAGATGACTTGCTAACTTTACATGTAAATCTGCTTGAACCAAGTTCCTACATTTTTGCCACAGAGATTCCTTTTGAGAATGAGCCAACATGTGAGATGCATGCTAGGATTTGGACCAAGCCATGAATAGGGGAGCTTCAAAGGCATTTGATAAGATCCATTGTAGAGAACATCTGCCTCTTGAATTGAACTGGTAATGCAAGTGTGTCACTGGAGTTCACCTGGCCATTTCTTTCAATTATCCGGGCTCTGATCCAAGTGTGAAAGCTAGTTCCAGAGTCCAAGCAGACAGCTATGTTTCATTGTTAATACTTTACTACCAAGATCATTCAGAATTCCATACTATTAGGAGATCATTACCATCAATTTAGCAACATAGGAAAAGTCAGAGGCATACAAACATGGGAAGTCATACAGCAGTACAAATGGATCCTCATAGGCAATCTGTACCATATGAACATGATTGTAAATCGCTATCGTTTTTATTAAGGGTCTCATATATTTAAATGATTTTTCTCTGCTTTCTGCATAAAAAGTTAGAAGAAAGGGGAAAAGATGCTTTTTATTTACAATGTCTTATAGTAGCTATTTGGGGTACGGAACGTTTCAGAAAAAGGAAAAATGTGGAGATGATGGGTTGGTTCCCTCTATCCTTGACAGGTGGAATATCCGTTACCAGATAACAGTTTGTGGATGAAGGAGCTTGTTTGTGGTGATGCAGGCATGTGCCAATCCTACTTCTACATTTTGTTTGGCCTCCTCTTCCGTGTGTAGAGTTTAATCTGTTGCTTTCCTTTGATCTAGGCACCTTTGACAAAGGTTTAATACTCATTCTTTTCTATGGAAAAGCTGTGTTTTGTTCTGGTGGAATTTTGTAAACTAGTAGTAGTAACATTCTGGAAACCTCTAGCTTGGTTGATTGCTATTCAAAAAGTTTTCAAGTCTTAGGTATACATGAGATAAGACCAATATTTCTCCTTTTCTTTTCAGATTCGAAATCCCTTAAAACTGAAGCGTGCAAAGAAGAAACATTTGCGGCGTATTGAGAAGCGAGACACGCTGGCCTTGCTGCAGAACACCCAGGCACAACCTAAAGCAGCCAAGCAATAAGAGAGCGGAAGTCTCTTTTGTAGCACATTGAAAGACTTCTTGAAATGCACAGGTTGAGACACAGAATCCAGTGTACAAAGAGAGGTTGCTGTTTTGGCTTCTCCTGCAATCAGCAAGAGGACCTTCCCCTACCCTTCCTGCAAAATATGTTATTGTATCCGAATAATTTCTTTTCTCATAGATTCGGTACTAAAAGAACAAATGTGGGGAGAACAGCTGGGATATTATTACAAAATCTACAGCTTCCGGATGATTTGTAATTTCCAGAACTTATCTTTCCTCTTTAACCATGAGAAGGAAAATAATATTTAAAAAAAACTTACTTTGAGGAAAAATATATGGTCCCTCAAATCGCTTCATGGGTTATGTTGATTGTGGAGGACTTGGTAAAATCTGGGTAGCTTGGGTTGGTTTTTTTAGTGGAGTTGTCTATGGGATTTTTTTTAAAAAAAAAACTCAGTGTCTTCTCTGACTTTCATAATATAACAGAATTCTGATCTTTACTAGACAAAGGACGGCATATATTTTAAGCATATATTAAACAAAGGATATTAGATTGCTGTTTCTTGCTCTACGCAGTATGGCAAAATAAAATGTGTTTACTCTTGTGTAGCACAGGTAGTCCTCAACTTAGCGACCAAAATTGAGCCCAAAAATTTCTGTTGCTAAATGAAACATTTGTTAAGTGAGTTTTGCCCCATTTTACTATTTTTCTTGCTGCAGTTAAGTGAATTACTACAGCTGTTTAGTAACACAGTTGTTAAATGAAAGTGGCTTCCCCATTGACTATGCCTTCTTACAAAAAGTGATCACATGACCCCAGGACACTACAACCATCATAAATACAATGCCAATTGCCAAGCATCCAAATTTTGATCACATGACCACAGGGATGCTGCAACGATTATAAGTGTGATAAACATAACTCACTTTTTCAGTGCCATTGTAACTTTGAACAAACACTAAATGAACTGTTGTAAGTAGAAGACTACCTTTATAGAGAATGGTGGATGGCACTTGTGTCAATTTCAACTTACAGCATGGCACATTGGGATTCTTTGGGTAAAATATAGAGACTTTGGCTGCATTTATATGCAAATGTTAATGTTTTCAACATTTTCTGGTCTGTGGTGGATGTAACAAAATATGAAGAATGTATATTTAATTAAGGGAAATCTTACTGATGTAAAAATATATTTACAACTAAATCTTTTTATACGGATTAGACCAGACATGTCAAACACAAGGGCTGGGGGCCGGATGCGGCCCGCAAAGTGATTTCATGTGGCCTGCGAAGCCATCCTGGAAACAGTGAGGGAACGGCCCCCGCTGCCTTGGCCCTGGACCAGGCCAGCCGAGAGCCAATGTACAATTTTGTGGTGGCCATCTGTGTTGAAACGCATTCAGTCTTAGCTCCACAAGGCCGTCTGGAAACAGCGAGGAATCAGCCCCTGCCACGTCGCCCCCGCCCCTTGGGTGCATGCTGGGGAAGTGTCACCCTTTGTGAGGAATGAAGAAATGGATCATGCCTTGGCGCTTGCCCTGGTCCTACCCCCTTCTGCCAGAGACCCTCAGATCTATCCCACTCCTGCTCAGGCCCCCACAGGCACTCTTGACACAAATGATGTGAGCTGGCCATACCCACCCACTAGGCCACACCCATCCAGTAGGCCGCACCCACCCTGGACACACACACATACACCCCCAAGGGCAACCACAATGCTGATGCAGCCCTCAATGAAATTGAGTTTAACACCCCTGCATTAGAGGTACTCCTCGACTTACAATTATAATTGACTCCAACAAAATTTCTGTTGCTAAACAAGATAGTAGTTAAGTGAGTTTTGCCCCATTTTATGACCTTTCTCGCCACTGTTGTTAGGTAAATCATTGCAGTAACACGGTTGTTAAGGGAAACTGGCTTATCCATTTATTTTGCTTATCAGAAGGTGATCACATGACCCCAGGACACCCCAACCACCATAAATACATGCCAGTTGCCAAGTGTCTGAATTTCGATCACATGACTATGGAGATGCTACGATGTTTGTAAGTCTGAAAAACTGTCATACGTCCCTTTTTTCATTGCTGTTTTAACTTGAATTGGTCACTAAATGAATAGTTGTAAGTTGAGGACTACCTATATACTACTTAGCCCTCTGCTTTCAGCCTTGAGCAAGTGGAGGAGCAACTGGAGATGGCAATGCTGATGGCGGATGCAGTGGTGGTGATGGTGGTTACTACTTTTCCTATCTGTGATTAGGTTTAAGGATCCCATTAAGCCATAATGTGGTTTATTGGGAGGGGGGGAAGGAGTTGGGGTATTGAAATGTAAGGTCCCAGTCCCTTACTTGAACTTGAGTTACTATGTCAATCTAATCAGATAACCCAAGCGGAGACTTCTTGATCAAGCAGCACTTTATTTGATCAAATCAAGCAGCTGGGTGGCCAACGATCTGGAACGCAGAGTTACGTCCAGAAGTGCCACACTTTAGAAAGTTGGTAGCATTGCTTTATAAACATTGTTAGCCAATGAAAATCAGACAACAGAGCCATTACATCATAAAGAAGAAATCAATCATCCCTGTACACTCCCTTATTCCCTCCTGAGATTAATTAGGAATCTTACAGATAAGAGCTGCTTATGAAACAAGCTCTTTACAACAATGGATGCAACACTGAGAATTTATGGAGATTTTTGTACACAAAGGATTCATTTCAAAGTCAACATATTTATCATTAACTCATTATTTTATTTGAAAGAGAAATTATAGAAGTACTCTGAAAGTCACAATAGACCAAACAAGACAACAACACTAATCTTTTTTGCATTTCCAGAGTCTTATCATCATATATGATTCTTACTATCTAATTATCTTTATGAAACATGCATTATGAGAACCCAATTTCTATCTTGTGAGTAGGGTTTATTTCATAAAGAACCTATGCAACCTGCACTTCCTTCTTAGCTGGGCTAAGATGGAGCTCAAAAAATTTCAGGACCTCTTTCCAGAAATGTTCCTCAGCTTTGGCATGAGACTTCATCTCCCCTCCCCATATTGTGGATATAGGACTACCCCGGATAGAAGAGATGAAGCAAGTTGGGGATCCAGGTGGTTCTATCATATGTCCAGCCTTAGGGTAAGATAATAACCTACAGTTAGTTTTCCCATACTTCTTTGCGCGGCTCAAAGCCGCTTCAGCAAACATCTTACTGTTCACGCCTTGGTCAGCTTCTCCTACCACAAGGAGAATGTGACCCTGGGCTTTTTCCACAGGAATGGTAGAGACTTCATGAACTGAATCTAGAGGATCTCCCATCACATTGAAACTGGACATCAATCCTATTTCATTGATGAGAACTGCCTCTGCCGAGTAGGGAACAGCAGGTATGTTGATATCGCGAAAATGGAGGGGTGCACCATTCATACTTGTGGCACCATTGATGCACACTGCAGCTGCTATTTCTTCTAAGAAGGTTCCCATGGCTAATGCAATTTCAGCTCCTTTGGACAAGCCAATGACTCCAGCTCTTGGACCTCTTACCTGGGTGGATAAGGAGAGAAATGTAATAGACAAGGTTAAAAATAATTCACGGAAGCTTGAAAAGTCATGCAAACATAACCCAGGGAAAATGGAAATACTTAATCCTGATCCAAACATTTATCACAAAAGCCTAAATACAGAGAATGAATTTGTCAAAGGATGTGATGGAATTCTCCTGGGAAAAATATAAACTTGTCCAGTGTTTGGTTTTAAAATCTGGCACTTAATATGATGTCTTTCCTGCCACCAAAATCCTCCTGTCTTGTGTAGTCATAAATAAGACTACCTGAGACCTCTTGTGAAGTTAACGGTGTCTTACTTGTGGGTTTAATCCTTTTTAGTGTTTCCCGCTTAATATGATTGGGCAATTATCAATGAATATTCAAGAGTTTACAATCAGATGGGCATACTTCTCTCAGTCCGAATCTGGTCAGTTTAGCCCTGTGGTGTCTCTGGCATTGTCCATAGCACTGTCCAGTCTTGAAGTGCGCTCAGCAAGAGCTCCCTGAAGTTCCCAATCTGCCTTTAACCAGGATATTTGACTCCGCTTCACTCACTAGCAGTGGGCTAAATCAGATCTTTCTCACCCACCCAAACAAAGTTGCTTCTCTCTTCTGATTCTCACTGCTGCCAACTGGTGAAAAAAAGATACTGCTCTAGCAAGCCAGTAACAGCTAAACTGTATTATGTTTTCCATTATTAGACTATACTTCCCTAGACTATTAATGAGCAGAGTCAAGCAGCCACTGACTTAGTTTTGTGGGACACCGGGGGAGTGATAGAGCTGACCCTCATTGCTTCACAGAGGGTTTTTTTTTTTTTTTTTTTTTTTGCACTCTAAGGCAAGAACTGAAGCTTCTGACTTGTGCACATTATCTCTTTAACAAACCTATAATAGGATGAATTTTCACTTTCAGATAACTGAAATAATACCTTCACCAACTTTTATGTTTAAGCTTTTCATCCTCACAGCTATCTGTAATTTGTCTTTCTGGGCACCTAAATAAATTATAGAATTAAGATAATAATGCTGTGATTCCTTAAAACAACTATAGTTATTATCTTAATTCTACAATTATTTTTTTTCTAAAGACATCTATCCAAATATCCCTATTCATCTTCCACTCTTGTACCTTTCTTTTTTCCTAATCATGATACTTATAATCGTGTTTTCAAAACTGACTGCCTTATCTTGATATTTTAAAGTTCATTGTGCAAAAGAATCAAAGGGTAGAAAACAAAATAAAAACATTTGACCTATAAAAAAATAAAGACTCCTTTGAGTTGATCTTGACTGCCAATGACATAAAGGACATTTCATTAATTTTCTTGGCAATAATAATAGAAGCATTCACCATTGCTGTATTCTCTGGTGTTTTTTAAAATTTTGTTTAGCCTATAGGTAACCCTACAGGTAGTGCTTACTGACCATTCAAATTTACAACAGACCTAAAAATAGGTACTTATGACCTGGATTTTAAGTTCCAATGGCTGTCCCCCATTCACAACTGGCCTATATTTGTGGCCTGTTTTTATAGTTGTTTGCAGCATCCAGTGGTCACGTGAGTACACTTTATGACACTTTTTGCAGGAAACTGGGATTTACTTCCAATGGGTTCACTTAACAACCACTTCAAAAACAGTTATAAAATCAAGTTGGTCATGTGATGACCTGCTTAATGACTGGTACGTCCAGTTGTAAATCAGATCCTTCAGAATAACTTACAGCAACTGACCAACCACATTTCATTGATAACCCCAGGTTTTCTTGACACCAGTTTTTGTATATATGCAGGTCTGGGAGAAAGAGAAGACTTCAACACATTTCCAGAAGTCATCCATTGCACTCCACATTTGTGTGACAATGGTCAGTTTATTTTTTTGACACTCAATATGATTGATTTTTTGTATTTGGTGTCTGTTTGCCTCAAAATGAGGTATGCCCTGTTTCCAAAACTTTTCATTAGAGATTTCCATCTGGGTAACAATCAGGTCCAACTATATTTGGCTTCCACGCAACAAAATGAACTCTCATAATTTAATATAAGATATGAACAGTTAACTTTGGTTTTGGTTGAGAAGCCTTTTTTGTTATTTATATAGTAAGTGGGTTAGCCTAGCGATAGTTGAAGATTTCTTTGGGATAGGAATAGGAAAAAAAAACATTATTGACTTCATTTTATAGTTGAGCACTTTATAGTTGATTGAAATACCAATCAATCTTATGGAAGCACACGACAAATAGAAACCTGCCCTTTACTACAAAGTTATATTTCTGATATGTACTTTACAGAATCCACAAAATGTCATAAGGATATTCTCATCTAGTCTGAGGATGGTAGAATGTAGTCCAGAATCCCAGGAGAGAGCAAAGAGACAACATGTCTGAATCTTTAGTATGTAGGAAAAGGGCAAAGGCAGACTCTCCCTAGTAATTCACACAGGATAAATCTAATAGTCACACAGAGAAGTGCTGTAGTCTGGAAAGATGTCTGTCTATTGACAGAAACAACAGTGAACAATAGTAAAGAAAGCACTCCGAAATAGCTCAATGCCTGTAGAGATTCTCAATCATCCAGGTCATAGTTATCTCAAAGGTGCTTTTTCAAAAAGCAGTTGGACTGTTTTTTCCTTGAGGAAGAATGACCAAAACGTTTTGTTTCTCATCCAAGAAATGTCATCAATTGTGATGGCAGGGGGTGGAGGTGGGATGGGATGGAAGGATAGGTTCTGACCAGTGGTGGGATTCAAATACGTGAACAACCAGTTCTCTGTGTGGGTGCCACTTCCGGAAGTCCATTCTGGGTCTGGGCAACAAAAAATTAGCTAACGGTTCTGCCGAAGTGTTGCGAACTGGCTGAATCCCATCACTGGTTCTGACCAGATAGTGGAACACTCTAAATACTCTGAAGTAGTTCCTTGTGTCCTTCTTGGTTCCTTGGGGCTGGCAATGAGTTCCCACATCACATTAAGACAAATCCAAGCAAATCACATTATGTGTATGATGGTTTGTGAACCAAAAAAGCATGACGTTTTGTATTCTATGGGTGATTGGCATTTTATGTTAATCAGGCAGCAATGGCTTATCCAACAAACTATGGATCAAACAAACTATGGATCAGTAAACCCTGTGAATGGTCTTTTTTTTGGTTATGATTACTGCCAAATTTTCAGATGACATAAAATTGCTTGAGAGCTGAATAGAAATAAAATCCTGAATTATCTAGATAGGTAAATAAACTGGTGGTAAAAAATAATTAAGAGAACCGAAAGTGAAATTAAGCATTTAGAAAGCAGAATTCAGATGCATACTTATGGGATCAAAGATATTCGATTTGACACTAGTATCTCAAAAAACAAACAAAAAACAGCTTAGAATAGTTGTTGATTGAAAACTATGACATCGCACTGTGATTATAGAAAAAGAAAGGGCAAATGTAATTTCCTTTGCACCAGAAGAAATATAAATTCCAAATCTCAGGAGGAGATGTTTCATCCTTTAAGAATTCACAGAAACTGTTGTAGTTTCAGAGAATGGCAAGTAAGTTCTCTGAAGGCAGAATGAAGAATCTTGATGCGTGTAGCTTTATGAAAAACAAAGAACGGAAGGAAGAATATAGTAGCATTCATTAAGAAGCCCACAGAGAATGCTAACATCTGTTTTCTTCTCAGACTGTGGGACATCTAAACAGTGAGGCAGACTCTGTTTGAATGTTCTGAAAAATTTACTAACACCAAGCAGCAGTTCAACAATGGATCTAATCAGTGGAAGAGCTAGAGGACTCCCCTTCATCTAAAGGAGTTGTCTTAACTTTAACCTCTGCGCAGGGTAGAAGATTGGAATTCAGTGGCTCCATCCAACTCCATAATTCTAAAGGAAGCTAAACAATCTGGCCTTTCTTTTATCATAAACTGCTATTCTGAAGTGGCCCAAGATGAAACTTAAAAAAATTCAGGATCTCATTCCAGGAGTGCTCCTGGGCTTTAGCATGAGGCTTCACTTCCCCTCCCCATTGGATTGGCAAGGGAGAAAACCGAAGTGGGTAGGCAAAGCAAACTGGAGATCCAGGGGGTTCTATCAGATGTCCAGCCCCTGGATAAAACAACAGACTACAATGATTTTTCCCATGTTTCTTCGCTCGAGCCAGGGCTGCTTCAGCAAACGCCCTGCTATTGAAGCTTTGGTCAGCTTCCCCCACCACAAAGAGGATGTGCCCTTGGGCCTTTTCCACAGGAATGGTAGACACTTCATATTTTTCATCCAGAGGATGTTCCACGCAATCGAAAATGGTTGCCAATCCCATTTCATTAATGAGAATCTTCTCACTTGAGTAGGAAGCTCCAGGGATACTGACATCATGAAAATGAAGTGGTGTACTCAATATTGTTGGACCATTGATGCACACTGAAGCCACTACTTCCTTTAAGAAGGTACTCATGGCCAATGCAATTTCTGCTCCTTTGGATAAACCAATAATTCCAAGTCCTGGACCTCTTACCTGGAGGAGCAAATACAGAGAGACATACAAAAGTTTCAATCAGTTTCTTCCTTAAAGCAATGAGGGGTGATATCAAAGTTATAAAAAAACGACATACTAATGCACATGTTATATTATTGCAGATTTACACATTCAAAATGAACTTGGTCACCTTCTCTTTCTGCCAGCCAGCCAATACAAGACAAGAAATGTGACAGACAGAAGGAAGGAAGCCTGAAAAAAATGTTGCTGCTTTTATTAAAGCAGTGCACTTTTAAGCATGACTCTTAATTGCATATTTTTGCATGTTTTTCAGCTACACATAAGGAAGCCTAAGGAAAAAAATTGTATGCTTTAATGAAAACTGAGAGGGTGGATATAATGGGTGTGTCCACAAAATGACAAAAGAGCATTGCAGCATTGAGGGGTCAGCAATGTATCACAACGCACATATAAAAGGTGGCAATGCAGCGCTACTCTCATCCTTCTGCCCTCAGGAAGGATGCTACTGATCTGTGCTGTGCTTTGTCAGGCCCAAAATCCCTTTAGCTTGCATATCTGGCAGGTGCATAGCATGCTAGTTTGTATGAAGTATTCTGCATAACAAATAGAGAATAAACTCTAGGATCTTCCTGAGTGTCAACAAGAAGTTTAAGAAAAGATATAATCTCATGCACACCTTAGGATTTTTCAAGAGCAGTCTGCATGCTTCCTCAAAATACTCCAGATCTACTACTTCCAGAGTCTGTGGTAAATCATCATATGCAAAGAAAGCCAAAGCCAGAACTGCAAAGCCTTTACTAGCCAATAAGCCAGCTCGAAATTCGATTAGTCCTCCAGCTCCACCAAATAGGTCAATCAGTCCTGGAAATGGCCCAGAGCCTGGTGAGGCAGAGAGGGAGAAAAAACAAGGATCAGTGAAGAAATAAAAAAAGAGTAATATCCCTTTTGTCAAATACATTACTTTCTCTGATTTGGGAACAATGCTTTTAATGATGCCTAGAACTGCATTTGCTTTTTTTTTTTTGTAGCGATGTCATACTGCTGAGCCTAATTTAATTTTCACTCGGCTACTCTTGCAAAATCTTTTTCATAGGTACTGTTAGCAAGCTATGCATCTCACATCTTATTTGTGAGATGCATGAAGGACTTTTCGTTGTCTCCATTTATTTCTGTCCTTTTGTTCCATTTCTCTAAGCTATTACATCCATGTTCAATTTTATCTGTATCTTCTAGGCTAGGCATCAGCTATTTCAGCTAATTTTGGGTCATATGCAGATCTGAAGAGCATTCCCTGTACCCCATCATCAAAGACATTAATAAAAAAAGTTTGCATTGTGTCAGACCCAGGCTGAAGTTTTCAGCACTGAATTCAGTATCTCACTTTAGTTTCACAAAAAATCATGATTAAATGAGCACCTGAATATGATTTTCGGATCACTATATATCCTAACTCAGAGGTCCCCAACCTTTTGGGCATCAGGGACCAGTTCCGTGGAGAGAGGTTTTTCCACAGACCGGAGGCTGTGTGGTTTTGTGTGCTGCCTGCATCCCACAGATGGGGCTTTGCTTGTTTGTGCAGACTGGTTGCTGGCATGACGTGGCCCTGTACTGGTCCACGGACCGGAGGTTGGAGACCCCTGTCCTAACTGACATGTCACTCAACCACAATCATCCAACCTGCTGTCATAGATACTTTGTCAAATGCATTGATGAAATTTTGATTATAGAATGTTGTATCTATAGTATTTCCATAATCTATGAAAGAAGTTAATAGAAAGTAAAGCTTAGTCTGATCCATGCTAACTTATAGTGGTGAGTAGTAACAGACTCTCATAACTGGGGCGGTACACGAATACTGTGAATTAGTACTACTGCAAATAAGTAAGCTTCAAGTATTTCTTGTCGTTTGCTATTTCACATTCCCTAAAATATTCCAAAGATAATGATTTGACCAGATCATCAGCAAGTTCTTTCAGTGCTCCAGGAATCACCTAGGCCAAAAGATTTGGTTTAAAGATTCCTTTAAAGCCAATAAGTGTTCCCTGACTATGTTTCTGTCCCATGGAGTGCTTATCTGCTTCTCAGGAAAGACTAGGCCAAAGAATGAAATGTCTAATTCTCATAGCTCATTTACAAATTATTGTTTTTTCTTTGGACGTAATGATGACAAGTAGCCTTTTCTTGTTCTTAGCATCTTTCCCTAACTTCAGCTGATTCTCAGCTTTAGCTTTCCCAACAACATCTGTGCAAATCTGGGTGACCTATTTGTTCCCTTCCTTCTGACATGACATGCCTTTCTACTTTTTATATGCCCCTTTTTCAAAAACTGTTGAAATCTTTACTAAGAATTGTGCATGGGCACATGGTCTCTTTTATCAGTACTATGATCCAACTTGGATAAAAGAAAACAGTTTGTGTTCATATTCAGTAGTGGCCAAAATTGTGGAAACCTTTTGGGAAAAGTGTGCAGTAGAAATGCCACCTTTGGTTAAGTTTCCACCAATTTTTCTTCTAATTTCTTTACAACTGTAGCCTTGTTCACTTAACAATACTATTTTACATCGCTTTCTGGGCAACCAGTCAAATCTTTGCACCATTATTTTAATTTTATTACATTTTACAAGCTCACTAAATGAAAGGGAAAAAAAATCCAACCAACTTGATAGCGATCACATAACACACTGTTGCATTACATTCTTGATTAAATTATCTTTCGATTGATATATAATTTTATGGTACTACTAAAAAAAAGTGATGTTATTACCCATCAAACCTCAAAAATAGACTTTTCCCAAAAGGTTTCCACAATTGTGGCCACTACTGTACACAGAACAGCCAATCTCTGTCCAAAGCAGAGACGCAGATGTGGAGAAGGAGATCAGATCTTTCAATCTAGCAATAGCAGATGGATACTTCAGGAATTTTAATATTAGAAATCAGTGTGGGAACTGCTAGGGGTACCAGGAAACAGGAAATTTGGGAAGATATGGCATTTATCGATAAAATATAGATCCAGACAAACTTGTGAAAATGGTTTCCTGGTCTGGCTGATCTCAAAGGGCTAACAAATTATGAGATTGCTCATTTGTGCTCATCAAAGCACAAATCAACACTGCTTCCATGCTGGCTAGGCAGTCTAGGCACTAACACCCTAAATACATTTGGAGGCACCATCCGTTGCATGCAAGAGGTTGAGGCAATAAAGGGAAGTGGAAAAGAAAACAGAATTCAGTTTCCTTACCTGGAGGCAAGAAGAGGGCTCCCCGGACCCGGCCAGACTTAATTGGGATGCGTTCCACTCCGGGGGCTGCGTACCATCGTTCCACAGTGGAAGTAGCCAGTGGTTCATGCGTGGGCAAGGGCACAATCACAGTAGAATTAAAGAGACTAATCTGAACATAGAAGGGGCTGCCTGTCACATCACGTTTGAGCAGCCTGTGGAACATCTTCTCAGCCTTTAGAGTGTAGAAGAGGCCCATGGACCACACACCTGTATAGTTGCCTCCCAGAGCAGAGGCCTCTGCCACATCTACTTCTCCATTCTGATTGGCTTGGTAAAAGGCTCTGGCTGTATACTTCACTCCCCTTTCATCTGTCAGTGATGCATGTAGGGTCACAAGCTGGGCAGGCGCCAGACCAGAGGCATAAATCTTCACTGGCGAGTCAGCAAGGGAGACTTCAGGAGTGACACTGAGGTGGACCATAGCTGCCAGTACCTGGGGAAAGTCAGGCTCCTAATCATATAAATTTGGGACTTCTTCAGTCTCCTTATCTCTCCCCTCTCAAACCATGCTGGTCCTCAATCTGTGGTCAAGGTGTCATCTACACTGCTCTGCCAGTCCTATGTTGCAATGCTGAAGTATTTCAGAGGTGCCTGTTTCATTAACTTGTTCAGACACTTCTTAATCCGAGAACCCAACACTAGAACCAATTGGAGGATTTCATAAATGCTCCTAAGTTTTGGGGAGGGGGGTGACATCAATTGAAATGCATCTCATTTAACCAACTGTGGATATCTTTTGTGAACACACATCTACAATTTCCTACTTTGAAATTATTGGCATCAACTGGTTTATGCCACAGATCAGTTTGCAAGATTATTAAAATGTTGTTAAAACCAGCAGGCAGGAAAAGGAACAATAAGTAGCTTTGGATACACACTTGTGTGAGATCCTCTTTCCATAGGCAATTCCAAACTTGATGATTTTGCAGTTCACTATGAACTTCCACAAACACTATGAATGTTTGTTTAGACAGCTAAACAAACTTTCCTTTAAGCTAACTCCCTCCCATGGAGCAGAAGAGGGGAGGAGAAGGCAAAGCTTGTCAGGATTTTGCGTGCCCCCCCCCCCCATCTTCCAGCTGCTCCTCCTCAAAGTGAGCCTCTGGATTTGCCTGATTACAGAATCAGCTTCACACAGCCACCTTCTTTTCTCTCAACCGGAATGGAGAGTGCAATTCTTTCTCTCCAACCCACAACAAATACAATACCTTTCAGTTCCAAACTTTTCCAGAATAAAGGCTTGCTCTGCCAGCTGACGGCTAAGGAAAAAAAATAAATAAACTTTGAGCAGAACTCGGAACTCCTTTCCACACTCTTCTCTGGAGCAAACAGCACCTTAAAGAAGAAGAACCAGAGAAGATTTTGGAAAATAAGGAGCTGGATCCGCCCCATTTGACTCGAACTAATTCTCAGGGTGATATAAAAGTTGGAGTGGAATTTAATAGACTGGAACAAGCAATTTTAGAAAGAAACGGGAACAGCAAAGTACAGTATTCTATTTGTTACTGTTTTCTGCACAATCACTTTACAGAGTGGTTAAATAAATAATGCTTTCTTTTAACCCTTAAATGCCTTAAAATATACTGTACCCAAAACAAGGCAGAATTGCTTAAAACACTTTCTGTAAAACAGATAAAACTCGCCGGTTACATGCACCAAGAAAGCAGAGACTCCAAAAGAGTGCAAATTTCAGTTACAGTTTCAGACCAAAATCAGTATTTTAGGAAGCAGTTGAAAATATTACCTCCTATCCAGCCAGACTAATGAATCTCACCAGACACATAGTGCATCTGAGGGCTTTAATGCCAAAAGAATTAAGCTTCCACCAGGAAACTATATTCTCAGTAAAAATCCCTGCTGTCTAAAAACGGTCCATCTAGCCCAGACATGTCAAACACAAGGCCCGGGGGCCGGATGCGGCCCGCGAAATGGTTTCATGTGGTCCACGAAGCCATCCTGGAAACAGTGAGGGAACGGCTCCCTCTGCCTTGGCTCTGGCCCAGGCCAGCCGGGAGCCAATGTACAATTTTGTGGTGGCCATCTATGCTGAAATGCATTCAGTCTTAGCTCCATCAGCCCCCCTCCCTGCGTGGCCTGAGAGGAACAGTGAGGCTCCTCCAGTGGACCATGCCTTGGCACTCGCCCTGGTTCCACCCCCTTCTGCCAGAGACCCTCAGATCTGTCCCACTCCTGCCCAGGCCCCGACAGGAACCCTTGATGCGAATGATGTAGAGCTGGCCATGCCCGCCCAGTAGGCCACACCCACTCCATCCATGCTCATCCAGTAGGCTCCACGCACCCTGGCCACACCCACCCGGCCCCCTGAGGGCAACCGCAATGCTGATGCGGCCCTCAATGAAATTGAGTTTGACAACCGTGATCTAGCCAAACTAACAAAATTCACAGTCACATACAATAAATAGTATTGATGAAAAAAGTTTCAAACATTCCTTAAAAACAACATTCCCAAACACATTTCAGGCAAACTCCTGTATTTCCCAAAATTAGCACAGAACGACTCACTTCCCCATCTGCCAAACCAAACAATTTAAGAGTAGATCACAGGAATAGGACACAAAAACCTTCTTTGGAAAAGTGTATATTTTGGAAATTATTTGGAATAATATCCCATTCAGCTAAAACAAACACTTTTTAGGTAAGAATAAGCAGTGCTTTTTTTGTAAAAAAAAAAAAAAATGTCGGAACTCACACGCGTTATACAACCCGCCTTGCCTACCCTACAAGGTTTACCTTTGTAGTTGGAAAAAAAACCCTTCAATTTTTAGTGTATCTAAAACACTAGGATTTTGTTCAAGGTAAGTTAATACTATTAATGTTACCATGCACTGTGTGGCTTTGAATTATAAGAAGGCATTTTATTAATCTTTTGGGACATTTACCACTGGCATACCCATTAAGTTTAATGAGTGGAAATGTCAGCTTTCTATGTGAAATGAAATTGGCCCAATAAAACAAAATTTGGTTGCTTGTAAAAGATTGAATTATTTTTAAGAAGTCGCCCGACAAGGTGGAAAAATTTACATTTGGAGTTTAATATGGATATTGACTTGAAACAAATTAAAGTTGAAACTTTGTCAGTGAACAGATTACTTCAAATTTACCTTTAGGTTAATAATTTAATAAATAGATCTGATTAAGCCTCATACTGTATGTAGATCTACCTTTACATCTGACCAATACATAATATATATTATTAATAATAATAATATCTCCAAATCACAAGACATTGGCTTTATTCTTATTCTTCCCCTCTGCAGTTTGAATATAAAGTATAAAAGACTAAAAAGAGATTTTCGTAGACATCCCAGCCTTTGAACTACCCAAGGAACCGAAACAGCAGTTTCGCTGTCAGGCAAGCTCCCATGCCAGCCACCTTTCTTTCCTCTCGCTTCGCCTCTTTTTAACCTCACACCCCACCTTCTGTAAGGGAAGGAAAAAGGCTCACTCACCCTCTCATGAAAGATGGCCTCCATGCTTTTGTGTCTCCCACCGCCACCATTGGTCCGACCAGTGGTGGGATTCAAATATGTGAACAACCAGTTCTTTGCATGGATGCTGCTTCCAGAAGTCCATTCTGGGCCTGGCCAACAAAAAATTAGCTACTGGTTCTGCCGAAGTGTTGCGAACCAGCTGAATCCCACCACTGGGTCCGACCCAGGCAATCAAACCACGCTCTGACTGTGGTGCTCCAGCATCTCATGGTTCCTCCTAGAGAAGGCAGAAAATGCCAGAGGGGATCCCGCTTGCACAGTACTGCCAGTGGGGCACTTTAAAAAAAAAAATGAGGATAGGAAGGGAAACAATAGGAAAAGAACGCAACTCTGGAAAATCTGTCGAAAAAAGATGCTGGAACTCTGTTCTGGTGCATTCTATGACAAAAAAAAAAAAAGCCTTGAGAATAAATGATCTTCTTGTACTTTCACCCAAAATGTTCAAGGGTACCATGGTTTTGTTATCTATGTTAGATATTCAAGATAACATTATTTGTTTTTCTGATATATGAAAGTTTGCTTATGATGCACAAACAGGACATGTTGTTCCAGAATGTTTTTGACCATATTGATTCAAGTACTGTGCTCCTAAATGACTCTTGACTTTGGGCAATGATGAAATCATCCTTTTGCTTTGATCCTGTGTGAAAAGCAAATTTCAAGCTAACAGGATCTGTCCCGTCTATTTTTCTGTGATTGGTAGTTTTGGTTTGTTTGGTTGATTAGGAAGCTGGCATTTTGTGTAGTTTTCTAAACAAAATTTTACTTGGAATAGAGTTAAGGATAATTGGATAATTTCTATCTTAAGATCTACTTCAGAGTTTTTTTTCCAAGTTGGCAATATTTCATGAGTTGGCTGAGATAATGGTATTCCTATCGAAATTCTAGTTCTTTTAGTCCTAATATTAGGGGAGCTTAAGTGACTGTGAGATACAGTTCCTTTGTTTCCAACATTTTAAAGAGTGAGGTGATTAATGAAGTTCAATTTTGTTCCCATTTATTTTCAATGTATTCCAGAGCATCAGTCTATTTCCGCCTGTTTTGCTTTTATGCTTGCTTCCATATCATCTCTTTCTGCTTCATTTGAAGTTTAGCGCCATAAATAAGCAGATTAACAGGAGGACAAATGGGTTCTGGATTATCAATTCTCCCCAGAAAAATTTAGCTTCTCAAAAAATCATTTGTAATAAGAAATTGCAGGTCATACCTGGAAAAGCTTAAATCCATCTCTGCAGTTAATGTTGTAAAACTGAGAATCTATTCCCATTTGGTAATATTTGTAACATTTGATCATTTTTAATCTCATCCTGATGAGGAAAGATTGGGATTCACCTCACAGCTTCATGTTTTCTAAAATCCAGAAAGAGGCCTGGAGGTCCAATTTTAATATTTAAAGGGTACCGGAAATAACTGGAATATAAATGAGGAGTCCTGTATCTCTGCTATGCAACAGTCTTCTCAGCAGATTCCCTCCCACACTTTTCATGCAGTAAAGATTATTGATGGCATTATTGCTGAACAAAGCATTCTTGTCCAAATAGCTTCCTTTATGGCCCTTTAACTACTATCACGTTCTGTTCAACTTATGTATAGCCCCGAGGAAAGAGAGATTTCCTTGTCTTCTGAGGTAATGATCTCATTCTCAGACATGACTATTCTGAAAGATACTTAACCCTGCTATTATTGCATCTCCATAGGCCTCATCCCTCAATTTCCATGGCCTCAAATGACCAATTTTCCTTGATCTCTAAGATCAAGACTAAGCACGCCTTTTCTGTTTCTGAACAATACTCTACAGAGCAAGATACTGAATGGCTTGTACAACATTAACTCTTTCTATTGGAGTTTATTACTGATTTTAATTACATTTTTTTTTTAAGCTTGAGAGCTGCTTTCCTCTCAGAAGGTGTGGGGAGAGGGGAGGGGAAGAAGCGAAGAAGCATCTTTCCTAAACACTTCAAACTTTTTAATACTGCCATTCTGTTTGCAATGAATACTTCAGCTGGCTTTCAGTTTAACATTAACAACAGATTGCAAAACAATACCAGGTAAATAAAATGGAGCAATGAACTATCTAGTTTGTTTAGTTAAGTGATGAAACCTCCCCAGTGAGATTGAGATATTGGGATACATTAACAGCTGTCCTCCCACTCAGTTACTGAATGTTTCTTTCACTCTGAAATATGAGCACCCTGAGATTAACTACCATATGATCTTTTCAGTGGAGTAGCTATTGGCTGTACCGTACATTAGATCAGTCACTCAATCTGCACCACAAAAGCTCTTCCCATGAAAAAAGTGGTTCCCCAAATAGTAGGCAAGTTTTGACAAAAAACTCCAAACTCACTTTTCTCCAGTGCTTTTCTCACAATTCTCAATTTCTCTTCTTGCTATTTCTGTTTGTTTGCTTGGGATCCAAGCTCTTCTAAATGCCACTTTATAAATTAAAATCTGAGAATAAGGTCTTTGTTCCTACAACTGATTAACCTGGCCTGTTTATATTGGGTTATCAAAAGCACCTAGTGGTAATCATTAACTGAAAAACATAAACTATATCTAATTCACCCACTGTAAAATAAAGTATGACTGTGGGGACAATGGCCTTTCCTTCTTAAATGTACCATTTAAACTTAGCTACTCCTAGATCCCCACTTTTTTACAGCTGTGTTTTTCCAGGTCATCATATTTATGAGAAAGCAAACTGGGACATAAGAAACTGTGTGTAAAGACATTCTAGATCTTTTCACCGATTGTATTTTAGAATATGGCAATATTTGAGTAACACTGGTTGCCTAGCAAGGTGTCAAAAACCTGATGACCCAGAAAAAAGTGATAAAGTACAGGTAGTCCTTGATTTACAACAGTTCGCTTAGTGATTGTTCAAAGTTATAACGGCATTGAAAAAAGTGACATGATAATTTTTCACATTTATGACTGTTGCAGCATCCTCATGGTGATGTGATTTAGATTCAGATGCTGGGCAACAGATTCATATTTATGATGGTCACATTGTTCGGGGGTCATGTGGTTCCCTTTTGCAGCCTTCTGACAAGCAAAGTCAGGGGGAAACCAGATTCACTTAACAACCATGTTACTAATTTAACAACTGCAGTGATTCACTTAACAACTGTGGCATAAAATGGGGCAAAACTCATTTAACAAATTTTCTCCCTCCCCCCTTTATATCCTCTCTTCTCTCTCTCC